AGTCTCTGGTTTTCCTGTGGCGTCGCCGTGTCTATATGGGGGAAGCTGCAAAATATGTCCTTTTCGAAGGTTTCCAAGCAGGTTGTCATGTTGTTTTGCGTGGCAGGCGTGGCACTTTGTGACATTCCAGCCTGTTGGATAACGTGTCGAAAATGTCAAACTTGGAGGAAGTCTCGCACGAAATGCTTGTTTTTTTGCGCCCACGTGTTTCGTCTCGAGTCTCTGGTTTTCCTGTGGCGTCGGCGTGTCTATGGGGGAAGCTCCGCACTCCACACTCCACACTCCACACTCTACACTTTACACTCCACACTTTACACTTTGCACTTTGCACTCCTCACTCCTCACTTGAGACTTTACACTCCACACTCTACACTCTACACTTTGCACTCCACACTCCACACTCTACACTTTACACTCTACACTTTACACTCCACACTCTACACTCTACACACTCCACACTCCTCACTCCACACTCTACACTCCACACTCCTCACTTTACACTCCACACTCCTCACTTTACACTCTACACTCCACACTCCTCACTTTACTTTACACACTCCTCACTTTACACTCCACACTCTACACTTTCCAATACACACTCCACACTCCTCACTCCACACTCCACACTTTACACTCCACACTCTACACTTTACACTCCACACTCCTCACTCCACACTCTACACTGTACAATCCACACTCCTCACTCCGCACTCTACACTCCTCACTTTACACTCCTCACTCCACACTCTACACTGCTACACTCTACACTCCTCACTTTACACTCCACACTCTACACTCCACACTCTACACTTTCCACTCCACACTCCGCACTCCACACTTCACACTTTACAATCCACGCTCCACACTTTATACTTTACACTCCTCACTCCACACTCCACACTCCTCACTTTACACTCCTCACTTCACACTCCTCACTCCACACTCTACACTCCCCACTTTACACTCCACACTCCACACTTTCCAATCCACACTCCACACTCCACACTCTACACTCTACACTTTACACTCCACACTTTACACTTTACACTCTTCACTCCACACTCGACACTCTACACTTTACACTCCACACACTACACTTTACACTCTACACTCCGCACTCCACACTTCACACTTTACAATCCACGCTCCACACTTTATACTTTACACTCCTCACTCCACACTCCACACTCCTCACTTTACACTCCTCACTTCACACTCCTCACTCCACACTCTACACTCCCCACTTTACACTCCACACTCCACACTTTCCAATCCACACTCCACACTCCACACTCTACACTCTACACTTTACACTCCACACTTTACACTTTACACTCTTCACTCCACACTCGACACTCTACACTTTACACTCCACACACTACACTTTACACTCTACACTTTGCACTCTACACCCCACACTCTACAATTTACAGACTCCACGCTCCTCACTCCTCACTCCTCACTTTACACTCCACACTCCACACTTTGCACTTTACACTCCTCACTCCACACTCGACACTCTACACTCCACACGCTACACTCCACACTCCTCACTTTCAACACTCCACACTCCTTACTTTACACTCCACACTCCACACTCTACACTTTCCACTCCACACTGCAGCAATCTGTTGTTGAGCGCAGGGGACAGGCTAAAAGACGTTGTTTTTTCACTGGGGAAACCAAGTATGACAGAACATGACAGAACACTATACAAAACATCAAAAAACTGTACATATTCATGCAGCCATTACGTAATCAATACAATGCGTTTTGCAGCACCACGTACACATCCATGCAGCCACTGCAATACGATTCGCATCCCTGCGTTGCAGAACACAGAGGAGGAACCAATTGACCTAGAAACGATCCAAACCGCAACCGCAGCATACAGGAGGTACCCTTCATCGCCGCTTGCAGCCACTTTACACGAAAAACGCAAGGTTTCGTGCTCCGGCTTCCTCCGCAACACGAGTCCCACGCAAAATCACTTCCCTTCGTCAACACTTCCCAAAGTCACCACACCCCCTTCATCACCACTTCCCTTCCCTTCGCCACCACTTCCCTTCGTCACCAATTCCCAAAGTCACCACACTCCCTTCGTCACCACTTCCCTTCGTCACCACTTTTCCCTTCGTCACCACTTCCCTTCGTCACCATTTCTTTAGGTCCACACTTCCCTTCGTCACCACTTTTCCCTTCGTCACCAATTCCCAAAAGTCACCACTTTTCCCTTCGTCACCACTTCCCTTTGTCATTATTTCCCTATAGGTCCACACTTCCCTTCGTCATCACTTCCCTTCGTCACCACTTCCCTTCGTCACCACTTCGCTTCGTCACCACCCTGCGTCATAGCCTATTATTGTTTTGTGATGTATTGCTATGTGATGTAAAGTCTCACACCGCCGTTCATGAATATATTGTTATGTGATGTAAAGTCTCACAATTCTATTTTGTCCGGAAGATTGCTTCCCAACTTCTTTTGAACATGTGTATAGATATATATAGTTATGGAGAACGCTTGCCAAAATATAATTTTGGGAATTGTTGTAGCTATGGTTAGCTGACATGCCAAATCAAATTTCCTGGGGTTCCCAACGATTGCTCAGGAAAATGTGCATTCCACAGGAACATGGAGCAACATTTTTTCTGATTTTCCCTGGCAATCCCTGGGGTTCCTAGGGGCAAAAATGTAAAGCTGCTGATGATGCCCCAAAAAAACGATATCCAGACTCTTCCTGTATGCGCCAGTGTGCAAAACATTGAACATGTTCATGCTCCATGTATGATATTTTACCAACATTTACCTCCCGTGCGAGTTGGAATAGTCAATTTTAACACAACAAATACAAAAGGTGATCCACCGTTTTGAACATGTACAAATTTAACACATTGGGCAAGACAAATGCCGCCACTCCGAATATTTTTGAGAGCGCTCGATTGGACAGGACTATCCAGGGGAAAATTGGCAATAAACAGACAGCTCCTGGTGAAACTGGGGTTGTGAACGTTCTAATGTGAAACACGAAAAACAAAAACAAGTGTAATTCAAAGCAGCTCCAGCCTGGATTCCATCCCTAAAGTTGCACAATTTGCCGGGTTTAAGTAAAGACGCTAACTAACTTTTAAAAATCGTTGCGTTACAGTTAAATAATGGATTTTGATGGATTTTGCGAAAATCATTTTCCACCCAGTTTGGGTTGCAACTGCAAATCGTCAAGGCCTGCTTCAGGGTTGCACATATTCTCAGACTCCCAGAAATGCATGTAAACATGGAACATGAACGCACAGCTTTGGTGCCAAGATTGGCTCCTTAAATCTTTGGCCGGAACGGGGGAGCACAGCACAATAAAAACGTGGGGGATTGTATGTTGACATGGACCCTGGAAAGGAAGTCAGTTTGGAGAGGCATGTTAAAGTGAAACGCGTGAAAAAAAACGATTACTTTACTTCGAGTGCTACCCGCCTTGACAAAAGAGTTTGACATAGTTTCTAACATTTCACTTGGAATGCTATTTGGCACATATATTCGGACATTCTATCTGACACTCTGTCGGACATTTTATCTGGCATTTACTCATATTTACTCTGACATTCTATTTGGCATCTATTCTGGCATTCTATTTGTCATTTATTCTAACATTCTATCCGGAATTCTTTCTTGCATACATGTGGACATTTTATCTGACATCTATTCCGGCATTCTATCAGACATAGATTCTTGCGTTCTAGCTGGCATTATATCTGACATATATTCTGAGATTCTATCTGGCATTCTATTTGGAATATATTCTTGCGTTCTATCTGGATCTATCTGGCACTTGCTTTCTGATATCTGTTCAGGTCCGTGCATGCTCAGCTGACTCCGGGGCTCGCGATAAGGTTCGGGCCCGTGCGTGCCTAGACTGAACTGGAGTTTACGATAGGGTTCGGGTCCGTACGTGCGCAGACTGCCGTGGAGCTCGCCATGAACTTCGGAACCTTGCCTGCGAGATTCGGGTCCGTTGGTGCCCCTAATGACAACAAACTGGCAGACGACGACATCGCAAGAAGAAGGATGAAGAGGAGGACACAAGGAGTGAAGGAAGGAAGGAAGGATGGAAGGAAGGATCAAGGAAGGAGGGATCAAGGAAGAAGGGGAGGGAGCAAGGGCGGAGCACCTTTGTTAAAATCTAGATACCCTCACCTGGCGGGTGGGGAAGAAAAGCATTGCCAATCACGAAGAACCTCACTCCGTTTGATGAATGCCAAAGGGGTATCCTTATAAAGATATGTAAAAATTAGTTTAGGGGTGAAAAGCCCAGTTCCGGCGTCAAAGTATCATTGGCCATGTTCATGCATTAATTTCCTGGCAACTTGTATTTACATACCCCTTTGAATTCGGTCCCTGACCCGGGTGTCTGGATTCTTTAGTGGGACGCCCTGTGGCACAAGTCAAGATCTCTAAAGAATAGGAACCCTTAGCTGCAGGCACATGGAAGAGTGCCTAAAGAATCAGAACCAGGTGCCACCAAACTTTATGAAGCCTAAAGAATCAGGGCCAGGAACACACCTCGACATAGCCAAACAATTGCCTAAAGATGCCTAAAGAATCAGAACACCCGGGTTGGAGTTATAGACATCCCCCTCTTTAAAGCCTTAAATATATGTTGAAGCTTTGGGTGGTTCACTTGAAAAATTGACAAACTCAATTTAGGGTTCCAACATGGCCAAACATGCTTCCAAAACAAGGTTCTCTAAAGAATCAGGACCAGGTGGCCTTTATGGAGAACGTGAATCCATGCAAATGAACACAAGAAAATCTCTAAAGAACCAAGCGGAAACTGACAACCTGGGTTGTCTGATTCTTGAAAAGACATTCCAAGGGGTATGTATTCACATGTATTTACTCTTGCCGTGTTTAAATAGATTTGATTCCCACAAGTTCCGTGTCACATTTAGGGGGTGTACAGTGTACATACCGTAAGGCTGTATCAGCCGGAAGGTTTGCAGGAGGGCGCCTCTGACTGCTGCAAGGCGCTGTCCTGTCAGCATGACAAACCGATTGAAAGTTCTGACCTGAAAAAGAAATTCAATAATCATTGCATACGGAATCATGCGGATAAGAGAGTGCCATTTGCGTAGAGCTGTAGGCATAAGTCAAGCAACCCAATTTTCCACATTTGCTTCGTTCGTTGAAAGTTTCAATAACACTAGTTACAAAACCATGATTGAACAAAATAAACTTGAATCAACTTGAAGCTTCTTCGTTGAACACATGCAGCCAAAGGTTTTGAGATGTTTTGAGCATGTTGAGCTACGGCATGCGGGTCTCACCGTCTCACGCTCCCAGCGCTGCAGTTCCATTGGTTCAGCTCGGCGGCTCACCTCCTTAGCCCAACTTTAAACTCCATAAGCTTCAATGCCTTCAGCTCCTTCTACAGTGACTTGTGATGCAAAGTGATACAGTACTGTATGGAATATGAATCTATACGAATCTATACGACCTGTTGGAGCAAAGCTGCATCACATACAGTATATGATGACTCACGTCCACTCAACTCCAACAGCCTCGTGCTTGGTATGAATATATGTGCCTTGCAAGGAATAACTTGCAAAAGTATGCAGAAGCTGCCTTTCTCTGCCCACAATCCTCTAACGAGGATGCTAAGATTCGTTTTGGACAGCAGTGCCCAACTCCTGCTGAACGACTTCATGACACTCGAAGGTTCTCGCATCGATCAGCTGCTCGATGGGATATGCGAGCCTGTGCTGAACGCTTGAAACTTGAAACAACAAAAGGATATAAGGGATCAACAGGTTTGACTGCATGTATGTAGTACAGCAAAAATGATGTCTTTCACACTTGCTAACCCTCAGGCCGAATAGAGCCACACTTACCACAAAAGTGCCCTCATTGAAATACACGAAGCAACTGATATGCAATATGCCGCACATTGCTACCATTATTCTGGCCAGTCTTGCAGCTCAGAAGATCCTAGGACGTCCCAGAGAGTTCAAATTAAACACTTACGGGGATTTGTGTTGGCACACGGCCAGACTGATCTAGAGGTTTGATCAGAATACTTGTTTTCCTACAACCTGGCACAAAGATATGCAAGCAACCTTCGACGCACCCGGGTAAATCACCACAAACCAAGAGGAAATAATAGGAATATTTGGCAAGAGTTTGACAAATATGGAAACATATGGTGTGACATGGTGTGACATGGTGTGACAAATGGAAAGTTGGTTTGTCACTGGATGGATGGCCCATGATGGCCCCAGGTTCCCCACCTGCTGAGGTCACTAAGGCCTGTAAGTCTCGAAAAGCGCTTTCGCTCATAGATTTTGTCATACTGGTTCAGCCTCAGCTGCAATGATCTGCAATGTCTCCAAAAAGCCTCCGACATCTTTCTAATTAAGCGCATTTTAAGCGCCAGCCTTGCCTTTTGCGATACCTCTTGGGTCCTCTTTATCTTATAGATTAACCCGAAACTGACTCTGACTTTAAACAAAATAGATAGAAATAGACCTTAAACAAACCCGAAACCAACCCTAACCCACGCAAATCCTAAATAACTTAATTGAACCAAAAACCAACCAAATAACATCTAGATAAATTCAAGGCCGCCAGCAAACCTCAAGCTAGCCCAAAACAAACTGCAAAGAAACTCGAAACCAACCGTAAGGCAGGTTCAAAAAATAACGCTTAATAAACCCTAAACCAACCCTAAATATACCCTAGACCAACCCTAAAAGAAACCCAACCAACTCTAAAGAAACACCAAGCCAACCGTAAATAACTTTAAAACAATCCTACATAAACACAAAGCGGAATCAAAAACAAGCCTTCACTAGACTTTAAGTTAATCCTAGGTAAAAACAAACCGACCACAAAGAAACACGCTACAAGCAACCCTAAAACCAACCCTGCATAAATTTTAACCCAACCCCTAACCCGAACCCGAATAATTAACCTATTTAAGCCTAGCCGAGCGCAAACCCTAAACCAACCCTAATCCAGCCAAACAGGAAAATTAAAGTAGCCATAGCTGGAAAGGAAACCCAAAACTAACCGTGGCCGGTGTCGGTTGGGCGGTGGTCGATGGCCTGTTGCCAGTTGCAGAGGCCAGTTGCCGGTTGCCGGTGCAGGTTGCCGGTGCCGGAACACAAAAGGTGAAAGTCGGGACACAACACCTCCGTCACATGTTTGCGCGGTGAACAAATCACAAAGCAAACCTGCAAAATCGGTAAATATTGCTGTCACATCCGCTACTTTGGCAAATCATACATCATGAAAAACAAGTAATCTGAGTCTCGTACCTGTAAGGACAAGCTTAATTACAGAATTTCTTTCTCGCCCTCTCTAAGAAGGTTTTGCTGACACAAGAGCTGGCATTGACCAACAACACAACGCAGTGTGGTTTCTAGACAGGGCTTCCTCATCACTCCTTCCACGTGCTGTATCCTTGATTTTTGTTTTTGTAAAGAGAAATTCCATTGATTCTATGCCTGGCGCTGTGCTTGCTGTAGCCAGCACTGGCTTGTACAAAGCTATACTGCAAAAGTGAAACTTGTGACTAATGCCACACAGTCAGAAAGAGACGCAAACATATAGATGCAAACAAATGTTTTGACTTTGGTGCGTTGAAACAGTTTGTTGCCTTTACAGGATCCTTGCAAATAGCACCGGGAGCCTTACCAGATGTGAAAACCATGGTGCTAGGTCTTGACCTAGAGCCAAGTTCCGCAGCAGAAAAATAATTCAAGCATATTCAAACACCAAAACAGACCACACCCCCCATGTCATCACTTTTAGCATCTTTTGGCCGACTATTTTATTTTCGCTGACTTTTTGTGCGCTTTTGATTTTGTCTGGTGTGCACCAACTCCTAGATTTCAGATTCTTGATGCGCTCATCTCACCAAAATCGAAATTACTCTGGAGATAGGAGAACGACCCTGACATGTTCAATGCAGACCTCAAATTTGCCCTTAGGCCCCGTTTTTCAATGCGCAATGTCACCTCCACAACGGCAAGGAGCCGAGCTGCAAAGGGCGGCAGGGGTTTGCAGCATTTACAAATATATACATCAAATATTGACAAATCATATCGGGTCATAATGTGATGACGGTTCTATCAGACTTGAGTAATGGCTATGGGCTGAAGTCCCATAATAAAATACGGACAGCTTCGATTATGGATCTGAAAGCTCCTGGCTTCTTCATAACTTGCAAGGAATATATAATCCGGGACAGCCGCTTGCTGGTGAGCTCCAACAAGTTTGTCCGCGGTTCACCTATGCCTCCAGAAACAAGATTTAACATGTTTACTGACCCCCCCTCCAACCACACATCTCCCAAATATTTACGAACAAACGTAACAAACGTGAAAACTTTCAGGAACATGGAGCAACTAATCGAAGCGTTTAATTTTCCTATTGTTTTGCCGAGCTGATATTTCAAAAATCAGCACGGCAAATTTCTAGTTTGAGGAAACATGTAGAGATGGATAACTGATGATCATTACTTTGAAACAGAATGAAAAAGGGTGAACAAATGGAAAAACAAATGAACAAGGGTGAGCAATCAACGGGGCTGCAGGGCCACGCAGACAAATATACATACATACATACATACATACATACATACATACATACATACATACATACATACATACATACATACATACATACATACATACATACATACATACATACATACATACATACATACATTACATTACATACATTACATACATACACATACATACATACATACATACATTACATACATACATACATACATACATTACATACATACATACATTACATACATACATACATACATACAACATACATATACACATACATAACCATACATACAACATAACATAACATACATAACATACATAACATACATACAATACATACATACATACATACTATACTACATACATACATACAATACATACATACATACATACATCATAATACTTATTTAAGTACATAATTAATTACATACATTATACTACATATACTCATTAATTACATACATTAAATTACATACATACTACATTACATACATACTATAATTCACTTACATTACTTACACATTACATACCTACATACATACATACATACATAATACATACATACATACATACATTACATTACATTACATTACATTACATTACATTACATTACATTACATTACATACATACATACATACATACATACATACATACATTACATTACATACATACATTACATTACATTACATACATACATTACATTACATTACATACATACATACATACATACATACATACATACACACACATATACATATATATATATATATGCATAAACACATATATATATATACATACATATATATATATATATACATACAAGTATATAGATAGTCCGACAAGCAGCAAAAAAGTTGTCACTTTGAGCCTCTGCCAACGTACCTACACATGTCTCCAATGGGAAACTCCCCTGACAGCTGAAGATTTTCTACTTATTCCAAAAGCATGGCTACGAGCCAAAATGGACTGCCCTAGTGCTCAAGCACGCTAACTCAGGTACGAGTAGCTGCCACCTTCCGTTGTACTTTGTCAATGTCCTAAAGAAAGTACAAGATGTTGCATACATGCCTCCGTGTGATCAGGCAAATAGGAATAACAATAAACACACGCGCATTACTGTAGGGCTTTGTTAGTTGTGCTTTGTCCTACTCTCGCAGCTTAAATGGGAAACAGACCGCAATTTGACAACATTGCGGCCAAATTCAAACAAACTTGAGGCCAAGGGGTATGGCACGAAAGCTAGCTGGGAAAGTAAAGTTGAGAGTCAACCTGATAATGCTGATGATGCTGATTGCGACGATATGGCGATGATGTCCAAGGGGGATATATCCACAGCAAAAACGCGTCCAAAAAAACAGGTGGGGGGGAGGAGGGCAATTAACTGTGAAGTTTCATGTGATTGGTGATTCCAACCCCTGCCAATGCCTACCTGTAGCTAAAGCAAGAGGGACTTCAGCTGCATTTTACTCCAACGGACTTTCACAAGACCTCATGAAGCCCGTGAATAAAATGAACTGCCTTAGACGGAGTAGTCTGCAAGAATGCGCGCCCATGTAGATGTAGCAGCAGAAACCAATCACATCCAACAACCCGTATATAAACGTCTGTTCCTCATATATCTGTTGCCTAATTTGCCTATGTTGCCTCTATGTTCGATATGCTGACAATCTTTATGATTACATCATATTACATCTTTATACCATTTTATACCATCTGCCCAGGTGCATGCTGGAAAGCTTCAGAACAGAATTCTGACTCTCACTAAAGAACCTCAGCTTCCGAGCTGGAGACTGAACCTTCGGATGACCAAGGCACAAATATAAATATCACCAAAAACCGGACTGCAACATCCAAAACCGTGCTCTTTTCTTCCTCGACAGTTGCTTGCAGCACATTTCGTGATCATGCCGTGCACTCTGCATTATTCAACAACTTTTACAATGAATCGCACAATGGGGGCTCAGTCTACAAAGCCGAGGCAGGTCGAGCCAGGGCGAGCCACGTCGAACATGGTCGAACATTGAAGCACCATTGAGCTGGGTCGCATGTACTGCCTGATCCTGTTCGAGATGTCACGCACATTCCGCAATGCCCGGTCGACCTCATGGCCTTCCATCCTTGGGCCCGTATGTCTCCAAGCTAATGAGACTGAAAGCGGAATGGAAAGGGTGAGCAATGTGAGAGGCATTGCGAAACAAAGGCCGACATTTCTTGACAGTTCTTGGCTAGCTGTGGTGGCATGGGCAGTCATGCGCAAAGTTTATTGCAAAGCTTCGCCATTTCAAAAGCTCGGTGCCAGCGTGACTTGGGTTCACTGCGGCTTGTGATCTCCTCCGGCCGGAAGGCCCAGTGGCCCAGTCTAGCTGTTTTGACATGTTTTGACTATGCCAACAGCGTGGCAAAGACACACCCCGTATCGGCCCATGATACTTCAGCACCCAGCTGCCCCCTTTATTGAACTCTACCAATAGTGCCGGGCAAGGTGGTGGCGGAAGTTTCAAAGATAGAAACCTATAGGAGAGGTGAGTTTTGCTGTGATGCGTGGATGGCAAAGGAAACCCACTAATGGACCGAAAGGTGGGTGGCTCAGGCTCCCAATCTACCTCTCTCTCTGTGTCTCTCTCTCTCTCTCTCTCGCTCTCTCTCTCTCTCTTTCTGTCTTTATCTGTCTATCTGCCTGTCTATCTACTCATCTATCTCTTTGACTACATATTTCGGCCTCTTTCTATCTCTCTGTCTCTCTCTCTCTCTCTCTCTTTCTCTTTCATTCTTTCATCTATCTCTATCTCCCTCCCCGTCTCTATTTCTATCTATGTTGCTGTCTATCTGTCTGCCTGCCTGCCTGGGTGGCTGGCTGGCTGTCTGTCTGTCCGTCCGTTTATCCAGCGCTAGTTTTTTTTCCTCTCTCTCTCTCTCTCTCTACCTCTGCCTATCTTTCTTTCTTTCTTATCCATCCATTTATCCATCTACCTCTCTCTCTCTCTCACTATCTATCTTGTTCTCTATCCAATTATCTCTCTGTCTGTTAATCTCTCCCAATCTCTTTGTCTCTCCGTTTCTCTGTCTCCCTATCTCTGTCTACCTCTGTCTATCTGTCTCTATCTCCCTCTATGCCCATCTCTATCTCATCTCTATGTTCCATCAAGGAGTAAGGCAAATCGATTTCGAAAGAGCCCCCACATTGTGGCTTCATTTTAGTTTGTCCCTTCAGAAAGCATGCCACTTCACATGCCAAACTCTGTACCTACATCTCCATCTCCAGAAGTTCGAAGTTCCACTACAAACATTGAAGTTCCCATGCGCGCGTCAGTCAGCCAACATGCCCATCTCTTTGTCTTTCTATATCTATTCACTCATCCATCCATCTATCTACCTCAAAGGAAGGTAATATGAAAGACTTCCTTTCAAAGTGGAAGTTGGCAGATCCAAAAGCAATTCTGTGAGACCTCCTCAAAACCTTGGAAGTTCACAGCTGCAAAACAAAGAAATTCTGTGAGATTTCCTGAAAAAATCATTCGAAATTGACAATATCGAAAACGAAGCAGCTCTGCAAGACGTCCTTGAAAAATGAAGAGTTGAGTGCAGAACTGGTGGCTTCGTGCCAATGCGTTGTGTGATTTTTACTGCCCATGTGAGCAATGCGAGCAATGTCAAAAACTCTCTTGGCTTTCCTTTTAACTCTCAAATCTCTTTTGCGGCTATTTTCGAGCCTCTTTCGCGGCCTGCGTTTTGGCTTTTGCAAGGGCAGCTGCTTTCTTTTCAGCTGCGGAGCTTTCGCAGCGACTCATTTCGCTGGGATTTTCGCGGAGCTTTCGCGGCAATTGATTTTCGCGGAATTGGTATAAATCCTTTTTTGGTCGTTTTGGAAGCTGCTCATGTGTCAAAAGTAATCCCGTCCCCGTATTAAATGACCACCCCAAATAATAAAAACTAGGGTCCATCTCTAATTTTGGAAAATTTCAGGTTGGCCAATTTGACATTTAATTGATTTTAATTGATCCCCTTTAGAAAAAAAACAAAAATCAATCGACCATTTGTGGGTGTTACCCCCTGATAATAAAAACTAGCCAGCCCCGGGGTGCTTTTACCAGGGTCTGTCCGAAGTTTTCGTTGTTTATAAAAGGGTTTTTAACTTAATATTAAGGGGAAGCTTCGAAATCCAATTTTTGGCAATTTAAATGCGTTATAAAGTTATAAAAGGAAATTTCATTGATTTTGAAATCGGAAAAAATATGTTTCATCAAATGATTTAAATCCATTATTAGGGTCCGCTTCGACATTCAATGTTTGGCAATATTTCAATGGCGTTAGACAAGGAAATTTAATTGATTTTGAAACCGAATATATATATATATATTATAATTTTTAAGGGTTTAAATTTATTCTTAGGGTCCGTTTCGACATCCAATTTTTGGCAATATTGTAATTGCTTTATAAAAGGATTTTTAATTGATTTTGAAACCGAATTGTTTTTTCTTTTAAATAAGGGTTTAAATCTATTATTAGGGTCCGCTTTGGTTCCCCAATAATAAATACCACTCCAATAAAAAAACTACCTGAGGTGTTTATTATTTGGGGATATTTGGGGGAGGTTAGTATTAGGGGGAAGGGATTAGTGCACCTTCCAGAAAAAAGTGTGGCCAAGTCATACGAAGTGTGGCCATCTTAGCCACTCTGACAGTCTGATGCTCCAAAATGCAACCTGTCTCAAGAAATTAGCCGATGGAAATGCCTTGTGCACTGGGCCCGCCACGTCAAATGCATCTTTGCAGTACTTCCTGAAACGTCCCACGCCTGCCCTCGTTTTTGTGTCTGCTGCACAACCCTCCTGTTTTGCTCGCGCTTGGCAAGGTGCAGTCTCCACTGCGTTTGCCATGGAAAATGGCACTTGCATGTCCAAAAGTGGTCCGAACTTCCGACCACGCGGTGTTTTTTTTACGTTTTGGCTTCGAAATGTGCTTCGTGCCACAGCCGCATGCGCTTTTTCAACAGCTCAACTTCCAACAGCGCTCCGACGCGGAGGTGTTTTTAGCATGTTTTTAGCATTTTGATTTCGAAATTGCGCTTGCGCCACAGCCGCGTGCACTTTTTGGACGCTCATCCTGCCAGAGGGCTGCGCACCCGCCGCTTTAGCGAGCCTACTCCGGAACCGCAAAACATTGGAAAAACACTTTGTTTCGGGACTGTTCTACCTTTTCGCGCGCTTTGATCTTCTATCTATTTACATTATTTACTATCTCTTCTCTGACTCTTCCCAAGACTGTTGCTGCATCTGTCCATGAGTCGTAAGTTTGACTTCTAAACTTCCTTCTGTCAGATTATTTTGCTTTCTATTGGATTCTATTGGTCATATTGGTCATATTGACCGGATGCTGAGTACATGATATTATAATAGGGGTGTGAAATAGTTTTAGGATTTTTTTTTTTAGCAGGTTTGGTTTTTTTTTGGGATTTCTTGGCTGGTACCATTTGCCTAGTGTTTGCAACGGTTTGGAACTTGAATTTGTCATTTTGCATGGTATTTGCCACATTTGGGCATGTTCACCTTCCATTTTGCATGGGATTTACTACATGTGGGCATGTTCACCTTCCATTTTGTATTGTATTTGCCACATTTTGGCATGTTCGCCTTCCATTTTGCATGGGATTTCCTACATGTGGGCATGTTCACCCAAATATTTTCATATGCGGACGCTTGTGATTAGTAAAAAAGCGGGTGGGGGTGATTGAGGAGGACGCTATCTATCTACCTATCTAGCTAGCTATCTTGCTAGCTATCTATCTACCTATCTAGCTATCAAGCTAACTATCTATCTAGCTATCTAGCTATCTAGCTTTCTATCTATCTAGCTATCTATCTATCTATCTAGCCATCCAGCTGTCTATCCAGCTATCTAGCTATCGAGCTATCTAGCTAACTATCTATCTAGCTATCTAGCTTTCTATCTATCTAGCTATCTATCTATCTAGCCATCCAGCTGTCTATCCAGCTATCTAGCTATCGAGCTATCTATCTAGCTATCTATCTATCTATCTATCTAGCTAACTATCTACCTATCTATTTAGCTATCTATCTATCTATCTAGCTACCTAGCTATCTATCTAATTCTATCTAGCTAGCTATCTATCTATCTATCTAGCTATCTATCTAGCCATCTATCTATCGAGGTATCTAGCTATCTATCTAGCCATCTATCTATCGAGGTATCTAGCTATCTATCTCTCTAGCTATCTATCTATCTAGCTGGCTATCTATCTATCTAGCTATCTATCTACCAAGTTATTTATCTATCCATCTATCTATCTTTCTATCACATGTAATCCTGTCAGCTTTCCAGAGAAGGTTAGTTCGCAAAAACCAACTAATGTAACTTGGGTTTAAGTTTAAATTTAAAAAAAAGCGGGAGGGGGGATTGGAGGGAGGGCGCAGCGCCTCCCCCCAAAGCAGAATGCAAGCACCTCTTCTCACATGTTACGTTGCTAGTTTTCAAGAGAAGGTTGGTCATGTGATACTCAGGGATGTAAATGCTGTGCAAAATGCATCTTACATAAAAATCAAGTATTTAAAGCAGGCAAAGCAAAAAGAAAAGCAGAGAAGCAAAAAAGCAGAGAAGCAAAGAAACAGGAAACGCACAAAAGCAAAACAGCAGAAAGGCAAAGAAGCAGGAAAAGCAGAAAAGCAGAGAAGCAGGAAAAGCAGGGAAGCAAAGAAACAGGAAAAACAGAAAAGCAAAAAAGCAGAAAAGCAGAGAAGCAGAGAAGCAGGAGAAGCAGAAAAGCAAAAAAGCAAAAAAGCAGAAAAGGCGAGAAGCAGGAGAAGCAGAAAAGCAAAAAAGCAGAAAAGCAGAGAAGCAGGAAAAGCAGGAAAAGCAGGAAAAGCAGGAAAGCAGAGAAGCAGGAAAAGCAGGAAAAGCAGAGAAGCAGGAATCCAAAAATAATTCCTAAACCTGATCAAAAAAAAAATCCTAAAATAATTAGCCCTCCTTATAATAGCTTGCCGTGGGATCAACAGTAATGTATACCAGAAAGTCGCGCTCAAATCTCGCCTTCATCCGCTGATGCATCTCCTGCCGCTGAGCCAAGAGCTCTGGAAGGCCTGCGAGGGCAAAGGCGTCAGAACAGACACGTGCATACTCACACATGTTCAATCATGTTCAGTCATGTTGGGCGTGAGAGTGACAAGGCGTGAGACACATGCGGAGCATAGTTTAGGCCATCTTAGGCCATGACTTGAAGCGGGCACCAAGCATTTTGTCCATACCTGTTCTGCCTCAGCCAAGAAGGCAACAATTTGCAAGCGGCTGATTGGATGACTGACGTTAAACAGGACCTATCATGACCTATCCTACTTTTAGCATCTTTTTGCACCACTCTTCAAAACTGATTTCTGGAAAATAAATGATCATGTTATATCGGTGAGTTGCTGCATGTTGCCGCTCATTGTCCTCATGGCATCTTGTCTTGTGTAGTCAGTCTCTCTCTCTCTCTCTCTCGCAACCAGTACAGTATATCTTGCGCAGGCTGTTGCAATCATATTGGCACGTTTTGTTCGGGCCATTTCGGAGATTTCGGCGCTGCTCTACTATGAAGATTATCTTGTATGATTGGGCATTCTTCATTATCTTCATTCTCTTTGACATGCATCACGCCATGGTCCATCATATGCTCAAAGGCTAGCCGCTAGCCCGACATCGAAGGACGTCTGGGGACTACTGAGCTACTTGACACCACGGGAATGACACAATTAGTTTGTTGGGTGACAATGGGTGATTTCCCCTGTCCCTCTGCTGGATAGCCATGGTTCACCCTCTACTTCTTACATATGGGGAAATATAATGAAATATATAGGGGGGATACAGGATAATACCTCATTACTGCTTCTGCATTCAAGGGGCATTCATGCATCCAGCCAACAACTTGCGCTTCGTCACTCGTCTGATGTGCCGCGGGTGTCCTGCAAAACTGGTGACTGGCGCAACAAAAAAAGCATACATCATGCTTTATCGATTTTTGACTGTTCGGGACTTCGGACACTGGTGCAAACGAGTACTTACACGATGTCTCTTACCAAGCAGCTGTACAGGCAGAGCATGGATTAACATGGATTAATGATTAACATGGATTAACTTAGTATGGCAACGGAAAAACTCCCCTTGCTTTGGCGCCCAATTTCGAGATTGACTCCTGCTCTGCGGCTGGTGCCAGGCTCTCTGGCGAGGTCGGTTCGATCCTGGCTCTGAGAAACGCTGCAACCCCCGTGCCACAAAAACAGCCTTTCTTTTAATGCCATAACATGCCAGAAAAAATCATAACTCAGCATGGCATGACAGTGCATAAGTGCAGCATGGCAATGTGGTCATGTTATGCCAAAGATGTAGCCGAAACAAGATATAGCTCAAAGAAGAGGTATACGAAGTAACTGTAACTCAGAGTAAACATAGCTCAAAGAAGAAGCCCCAAACAAGAGAAACAGCCCAAACAACAAACAGCGGAACGAAGAGATAGCTCAGAGACACAGCACAGCTGACACATTCTGACACAGATCACTAAGAAATAAGAAGAGATAGCTATTGCGAAGCGAAATAAGACAACGCTGCCAAAACAGATGGCTCAGAGACGGGGCAGCTCGAAGAAGACATAGACGACCATAGCTGACAAGAAAGATAGCTTAACATACAAGTAGTTCAACAAAATCATTCAACTACGACTGGACTCCTTTCGATTTCCAGTCAGTCATTCGATCATGCTGTTCCGACTTTTAATTGAAAAATCATCAGCTTTCTGCTCGGGTGACTATGTTGTTTTCTGACTACCAGCGCCAAGTTCCAGAGGACTCACGGACTACTACTTGAAACAGCCGAGACATTTGCTTCGAACGTGTTGGCACAATGAATGCACAATGAATTCCAAGCAAAAACCATTGGACTCGTTGCAAACATGATGCCGCAGTTGCTAGAGTGACAATTCGTACGCACCCACTCATTGCAAATGCAAATATCTAATATGGGGCTATGTTTATCAGGAACGTCATGCACCTGCTGTCCCTACGTAGTCCGTCCAAGCAGCCTTGCCTCAAGGACGCTGTTGTCCCACTCTGAGTAGGTTGCCTCAAAAGACAGCAGGGCATAGGAGGGCAGCATGATGATCTTCGCAGCACATGGGGTGAAAGCTTCGATAAGCTTCGGATCAAGACTGCATTCAAACATGCCCACTTCTACAATCTGCCCGCGCCGTGTGTTCATGATGTTCGTGTGTGTTCATTGTTGGTCTCTGATGGTTTTTGCTTTTGATATCTTTTGATGCTCTTGTAAGACTCTTGTAACTTGTGTGCTTCCTTTCATGAAGTGAGTTGGGGTCTTCCACCGGAGCGCCTCCTCAATGGCAAGCAAGGCATCATCTGAATCACCTTCTGTGTCGGACCTTTCAAGGGTCATGTGATGATTGTGATGTCATGTGGGCCAATGTAGGCTCCAGTTGAGTGGTGGGGATGCCTCTCCTACAAAGCAACACGCAGACCTTAGAGCCTTAGAGCATGGTGCAGCCCACGTCTGAAGCCCATGTCTGAAGCCCTATCCCACTTATATAATACTTGCAAAGAAAAATTGCACATAGCGCTCCTGAGTTTCTGTAAAGACAATTGCCGCCAATTGTGGGCCTGTCGAGTCGTAAATATCGTGCCGGGGCTTCGTGGTATACTGCTTCAACCTTCAAAGCGAAAAGGCTCTTGAAATCTCTCGAAAATACCTGCTTTACCCAAGAGTTCGCCATGAGGCAACTGGTAAGAATGTGATAGGCTGATAGGTTCTTGAAACTATCCGTCTTATCCGTCTTGCCAAAAACTTCCTGAAAGCCTTGGGGAAGTTGAATGAAGGCCCCTGCAACGTGGTTTCAAGCACCGGGATGTCAGAACTGGTCTTTTGTTTAAAGTTGACTGAACCGTACAGGATCAAAGCAGCCTCGCATCTTCTTGAAGCGTGAATGTATGACGTGCGGCAGCCCTTGCATCGTTCCCTTTTCTGTTTCTAATTGACTGCTTTGGTGATTTTTCTGGACAGCAAATCTCATCCGATATCATCCAATTTTAGTGTCTTCGAAAATTCGTACTACGCCAGCCCTAGCGCTTGGTGGACGTGGGACTTTGGCTTCCAGATTCCAACGGTACGCAATCTCCTCAGCCACTGCCCAAGCTTCAGGATTTCTTCAGGATGTCTCAAGGGGCGGCACTGAAGTGACATTTTTTTTACTATACAAGTAGAGATGAAGGGGGATTGCATTGAATTGCTGCAAGCTGACAGAGTCAAATGATGCTGGTCTTGCTAAGGCCATGGCTTTGTATCCTTTGCTCTCCAAGCTGTCCATAAAGGCTTCAAACTCTTTGCAGCAGGAGTTGCGTAGAGGCTCAAACTACAGCAACGCCCATGTAAAAAGTTGATGTAGGAAACTCGCAGCAGACATCACCTCATAGTCAATGGGCAAGAGAGCGCAATAGTGGGAGAATGATGAAGGAGTTGCAAACGACTCCTAAACCGCATTTTTGTCTGTTGCTTATCTACAAAAAACACGTCCCAATGACATCTGCAGCACTGCAGCATTCTGCAGCATTCTGCAACCGAAGGGCATTTCTTCTGCCTTGTTTCTCAGCCAGAACGGAATTGCCGTTTCCCCCTTGAGCCACAGTTTCTTGCACCTCACCTACGAATAGAATCTCCGTCAAGACCTTTTGTGAGCAAGATGGGCAATGAGGCCATGACAATCCAAACCAAGAAAATAGACCAATAAAATCTAATAATCTAATAAACAAATCATTGAACTCTTCTCAACTCTCCTCACCCCCATAAGCTCCAAAAGACCACATGGATCAAAAATCAATAAAACATAATAAAATAACATATTCAAATTATTCAATAATCAAACTCTTAATCAAACTGTGTTGCACCCCACAGCACCAAATCTGAGGCCACGGGTCCATGCAAAGTCCTGTTCTTCGGAGGCAGTTATGCCAAGCTCCTCAAGGATCAAACAATGAACTGATATGAACTGATACTAAGACAGGTCAACATGATACTGTAACTCCAACATGGGACATCTATGGACATCTGTTGACATTTAATGATCGCTGCTGATCGCTCTTTTCAATGCCCTGCACCACGGGATTCATGCATAACATCTGCACATCTGTTTCTTTGAAGGATTCTAGCATATTCTAGCATATTCTAGCTCGCCCTACGCTCAGCCCATGATGAGCTCGACCCTCTGAATTGGTATGGCTATGCGCAGTTGATCGCAGCTGATTCTTTGATTTCTTGGTTTGATGTTTGTGACTTCTTGTGTGGCAACCACATGTGATGAGTAACGTGAGTAAGAGGTTCTTATTATTGCGGATATATTTGACGATATCACTGATATCACCTTTTGTTTGCCCGGAAGCTGCCCCTGCTCGCGCGTCCAGAAATTAAAGGAAATTAATGAAATTAATGTTAAAATTACTTCTCACCCTCCTCTAATATTGTGATTGCTTACTTCGGACTTGCATTTGAGGTTGTCCTCCCTTGCTGGAATCATCGTGTCCATGTGATATGACATAACATCAATCATCATCAATCTAAACATGGTCATGCAGCAATGCAAATTTCATCCCTGTTATTGGTCACTTGCTGCATGTTTAATCTTACTGCATTGCAGTCATGACGGACCACCATGCCCTGTGCCACATTCTTTTGTATTGCGCCCTTCCCTTTGCATGAATTCAAAAATTTAACATATTCAACATAGTCCATCAGGTTTAAAAGAAAAGTTCAAAGTCTTCAGATGTCTTCAGATGTCTTCAGTCTATTTCTGTCCTGGATCATTGCCTCCACCGCCGGATCCCGCTGCGGTTCCCACGGTGGTGATGGCGATCGCGGAGGCCACGACGTGCACGACACTGGCTGCACTGGAGATGCTGGACGCCAACTCCAACAGCTCGCGCTCGCGCCTCGATTGGAGACGGCGCAGCGCCGGAACCAAACCAAAGGCGTCCAAAGGCGTCCAAAGGTGTCCAGCAACGTCATGTGGAACGACATGAATGACATGAATGACATGAGTTCACGTGTAATCAATGAAGCAACATGAAGCAATCACACACGGTCGCACACAGACCTGCACGCACACATGCACATACTCACACATGCAAATACACACACGCACATTATCGCACTAGACTCACTAGACTTTCATAATGTCACATGAAGTTGGAATGAAGTTGCATGTTGGGAAGTTAAACCTACAAGGCTACAAGCATGAAGCAACATGTCTCTAATTAAATATAATGACGGCAATAGCAGGGAGTTGATGTTGTTCCTCATCGGCTGCCCAACAGTCTCGAAACGACGAAGCAACCAGAATAAACTGAAGACAAAGAATACACACATGAAAACACAAAAAGTTCCAAAATTATCACATTATAATCATTATAACAATCGTGCCAGGTCGAGGGAATAAGCAATATTGCGGTCAAGCACTGGGTTTCTGGAAAAAAAACATCGGAATAATTGCAAGTACGTTGGGTTGATCAGCCCAAGCATTGCGTGGTATCCCATGATTGTGGTATAGCTTCGTTGAGTGCAATCCCACAATCATGGAACCACCGATGTCACTCAGAGGGCTCAGAAAAAACTTGCGTGCCATCTCAAATCCATGAAATGACACCCGTGACACCGTTGATATATTCACAGCCGTACTTGAATCGGAAAGTTGATTTAAATCTCACACAGTTGAGCCTGAACTTGGAAAAACTGTGTATATTGTGCACAAGTAAAGTTTGTCACTCAAACATTACTCAAACTGTGTCACTGCCCAAAAATGCGCTTTGTGTGTGCTCTTGTTAATTGATTACTCTTGTTCCAAAAATCGAACGGAACTCCCACCAAAGATCCAAAAGGCATCAAAAGGCATTTCTCGCGGGCCGAGCTCCACTTACAGAACCAGAAATTGGATCGCAAAATACGTGTAAAAACACGGAAAATGGATGAACATGGTGCAACATCCAACATGTTGGTTCCATCTTTCAACATCTTTCAACATCCAACGGTTCCAAAGCCGTGGAATCCGGTGAAGTCCCTGACCTGCCAGGAACGCATTTGACTGCGGCCAAAGCAAATGAGGATAGAGCTGCCTCAGTCCGTCATTGTTCTCAACAATCTCACGAGAACAAGCAATTGAGATAATTGAGAGATACTTGAGCTCCATTTATTGCTTTATTGCTCAATTCAAGTCAATTCACGAGACTTCTTGAACTTCTTGGGCTTCCGAGCTGTTGCAATTGAGCTTGAACTTGGTGATGTTGCCAGCCTGCTGAAGTGGCATACCTGGCTTCACTCCACTGAATTCGACTAGAAAACTTCTCGGGCAAAACAGCAAACGTATCTCACTCATTATTCCCTTTCAGATCACAGTATTGGATAGTGTTGGATGTTCCCTCTTCCCAACACATTTCTCTTTGTTCCAAGCTGCTGGGCCATTCGGCGTCACAGCTGCTTCATGGTTGCGCTACGACCGGATAGCTGAGGGGCATTGTGTTGAAAGAAAAAACATGTTGTCATTGTCATATATACATTGTCTGTGGGTGCATGCTTTTCTCCGCATCCCTTTTCAGCACATTCAAATCATTCATATATATATATGTGTATATTAATATATATATATGTATTAAAATGCTGTGTATTCTAGGGTTGCTTCCATGCAATCCTTTTTCCAAGTGAATCGTGGGGTGTGAGTTGCTGCTGGGGGGCCACTCAAGAAAGTCTGCTGCAACAGCAAACAACGTAGCCTCCCAGGAAACAATAGCCATGCCGTCACCTATGGAAAAGGACATAGCCATAACAATGTTTCAGAAGTAGTGCGTGCCACTAGCAGGAAGATGCAGGAAGTCTCCAAATTTTGGAGAACTGTGGGGGCAAAAAGGGCACTCTTTGGTGCCCAGCAGTCTTGTCACAGTCGAAGGTGGAGGAAGCATATATGGCAACTTTAGATAACTGCAGCACATCATGGGAATATCATGGAACGCTGCATTGCAAACAAAGGAAGATAAATTAACCCAAAAAAATGCATGATTGATCAATATTCATCTTTTCAAACTGGATAGCAGTGAATCAATTTGACACTGAATGGGTTCAAACATGTTTGCAACAATCCGAAAGGATGACAACTTCCAGTTTGGGTCGATGACAAGCAGGGGCTTAGTCGGCTTAGTTACGAAGTGCGTTCATTTGTCTTGACTTTTTCGAAATACAGCGTCATTCTTTGGCTTTGGGGTTTGATCGGCCTTGAAATCACTACCCTTGTTGTGCTGGGCACCAAAGTCGTTTAGCAGCAAACGGCTGCTCCCCTACTTGCTTCTCCGATCTTGCCTGAGAACAGGACACCTCATCATGACCAACATGCAAAAATTCGAAGGTTGAAACAAGATGCAGCCCACGAACCCGGATGCAGTCACGTAAAACACTGTTGCGAAACAGATCATTTCAACAGTCTTGAACATGTTTCCCATGTTTCCGTACCAGTGTAGACTGTGGTCGCGTGGGGTGGAGTGCAGAGTGTGGAGTGTAAAGACTGTGGAGTGTTGAGTGGGGAATGTAGTGTGTGGGGTATTCGGTATGAAGTGGTGATTGTGGAGTGTGAAGTGGGGACTGAGGACTGTGAAGTGTCGAGTGTAAACTGTAGTGTGTGGAGTGTAAAGTGTAGATCATGGAGTGTAAAGTGTATGGTGTAGAGTGTGGAGTGTAAAGTGAAAAGTGTAGAGTCTGGAGTGTCAAGGTGTAGAGTGTAAAGTGTCGAGTGTAAACTTTAAAGTATGAAGTGTAAAGTGTAGAGTGTGGAAATGTAAAGTGTAGAGTTCTTCAGTGCCAAGTGTGGAGTGTAAAGTGTGAAGTGTCAAGTGTAAAGTTTGGAGTGTACAGTGTAGCGTGTAGTGTAAAGCGTAAAGTGTAGAGTGTCGAGTTTGGGCTGTCAAGTTTAAAGTGTGAAGTGTAAAGTGTAGAGTGTGGAGTGTAGAGTGTCAAGTGTAAAGTGTAAAGTGTAGAGTGTACAGCGTCAAGTGTGGAGTGTAAAGTGTGAAGTGTAAAGTCTAAAGTGTAGAGTGTGCAACATAAAGTGTAAAGTGTAAAGTGTAGAGTGTGGAGTGTAAAGTGCAAAGTCTGGAGTATGGAGTGCCAAGTGTAAAATGTGAAGTGCACAGTGTAGAGTGTAGAGTCTGGAGTGTAAAGTGTAGAGTGTCGAGTGTGGGCTGTCAAGTGTAAAGTATGAAGTATAAAGTGTAGAGTGTGGAGTGTAAAGTATAGAGTGTGGAGTGTAAAGTGTAAAGTGTACAGTGCGAAGTGTAAAATGTAGAGTGCGCGCAGTGTCAAGTGTAGAGTCTAGAGTCTGGAGTGTAAAGAGTAGAGTGTCGAGTGTAAAGTGTAGAGTTTGGACTGTAAAGATTATAAAGTGCAAAGTGTAGAGCGTGGACTGTAAAGTGCAAAGTGTAGAGTGTGGAGTGTAAAGTGTGGGGTGTAAAGTTTAAAGTCTAGAGTGTAAAGTGTAAAGTGTAGAGTGCGGAATGTCAAGTGTAGAGAACGCAGTGTCTAGTGTAGAGTGTGGAGTGTAAAGGGTAGAGTGAAGGGTGCAAGGTGTAAGGTGTAAAGTGTGAAGTGTAAAGTGTATAGCATGGACTGTAGTGTATGGAATGTAGAAGTGTGGAGTCTAAAGTGTAGAGTGTGGGATGTCAAGTGTGAAGTGTAAAGTGTAGAGTGTAGACTACCTACACTGACAAGTGTAGAGTGTGGAGTACGGAATGCAAAGTGTTAAGTGTAAAGTTTAAAGTGTAGAGTGTAGAGAGTAAAGTGTAAAGTGGGAGTGGCAAGTGTAAAGTGTGAACTGTAGGGTGTCAAGTGTAAAGTGTGGAGCGTAAAGTGTAAAGCGTCGAGTGTCCGAAATATTGCGCCTGCCACGGAAAATGGCATTCCACACACAACGATACACAACGGATCTGCACCAAATACTGCCTCTGCCACGGAAAAATGACACTCTCACGATGTCCCACGCCTGCCGCATGATTTGCGCGTTGCCACCACTTGATGCAGCCCTGACAAAAAAAAACACGCAACACGACACGTCTAAAGTGCTGCGCCTCGCTGGAGGTCTCATAGGGACCTATACGGAAAGCGGCGGACGGTTGCGAACGGTTGCGAACGGTTGCGGATGGTTGTTAACGGTTAACGCTTGCGAACAAGCTACGCATTGGAGAAAAACACGATATAATCTAGTCAGTCATCATCATGCGTCTCCACGAATTCATCGGAGAAGCAAGTGTTCTTGAATAGTGAAACCTTCCCGGTGAAATCTGGAGCAAAACAGGCAGGTACAAGCAGCGCGATAGCTTCATGTGTGATTTTGGAATGTCACATGATGTCACATGCACCTAGGTGCAAAGCATTCCAAAGCCAAAACATGGCAAGAGTAGGTGTATCTCACGCAACCCGGCATGTACAGGCCTCACATAAGCACACATGAGCAGGCATAAGCATACATATGCATACATAAAGCAAGCATACATAAGTGACTACCCAAAGACCGAAACCACTGTGACATCATGTTACAACAATGTGACATCATGTCACATTTTGCATCACGACGGCATCACCATCCGTTTTGCGGCATGCTCTCCGCGAATGAGCTTCAATCGATCAACTTTAGATCGCTGACCACTTGAGAAAATACTTCACTTGAGCTAAGCTAAACATCGAGGACCAACTATGCCTCACTGAGCCTTAATCCTTCTGGCATCACTGCGACGTCACCTCTTCCAAGCATGAACAGCATCGACAAAGGCTTGGACAAGTTCTGGACCTTGGATTCAACTTGAAGACACAAGACACAAACATAGACAGTAAGACAGAATGTAGACATCTGCAGGCATCAAATCCAAAAAAATACAAAAGATTACAACCCCCAAAGAAAGTGGCTAGAACATGTACGAAGTTTTTTTCCAGGGAAACTTTGGCCCCGACTCTCCTGGCCATTGAGGCCTTCCCCGAGGTTGGCAATCAGTCGCCCAGTCGGCACTTTGGAAAGCATCACCTCACCCATGTCACACGAGCATTGTCATCCCCACCTGTGCCCTTAGAACAACGCTAGACCCTGCCATACTGGAATACCGTATAAATTATCACATATATATACATATACACAAAGAGGTATCCACTCTCTCTTCTTTAATTCCGAGGCTGTTCTTTCATATATATATATATAATATGTGTGTGTGTCACATGCATTCATATGCATCATCATGCTATATCACCGTATCTTTCCATATCTATATGCAGATGTATTGCTAGTAGATGCTAGTAGGATATCCCGCGCCGTGCTTTGTTTCAATGCCTTGGATCATTCTGGAACTATGTAGCGTGAAATGCCTGCTGGTTTAATGTTGGCATGCCATGGCATGCCAGCGTTGACAAGCGTAGACCGTAGACCGTTATCAAGGGCTGTGATCTGCAAAGATGTGCCAAGCCTCGACCTCTCGCTCAACCTGGGAGGGACCATGATGGAACATGTGTGAGGAGCCAGCGCAAAGAAACATGAAGGGAAACACGAACGAATGAGAGCGGAATGAGAGTTGACAAAGACTCGCGAAGGAGCACGAACGAGTTGAATAGTGGAAACTTGTGTTATCATGATGACACACGACTACGATCAATCACAATCATCCATGTGTTTCGGCACTTTGCTCAAATAACTTAACTATGGGTTCAGAATAGTTTTTGGATTTTTGTTTGGCTTTCTTTCTTGGTACCATTTGCCTTGTATTTGCAACAATTTTGAATCTGTCATTTTGCATGGTATTTGCTACATGTTGGCATGGTTACTTTGCATTTTGCATGGTATTTGCTACATTTTGGCATGGTTACATTGCATTTTGCATGGCATTTGCTACATTTGGCCATGTTCGCCTTCCATGTTGCATGGTATTTACCACGTTTTGGCACTTCAACCTCTCATTTGCATGGTATTTGCTACAATTTGGTACTTCAACCGTTCATGTGGGTTTCTTGAGAGCTTCTTTAGGCTTCCATTTAGGGTGTCATTTAAGGTTTCATTTAGGGTTTCATTTAGGGTTTCATTAAGATTTCATTTAGGGTTTAGGGTTTCATGTAGGGTTTCTTTAGGGTTTCTTTTGGGGTTTAATTTAGGGTTTCTTTTAGGCTTTCATGTAAGGTTTCTTTAGAGTTTCATTCAGGGTTTCATTTGAGGATTTCTTATCGGGATTTCTTATCAGGATTTACAAACGTTCATGTGGGTTTCTTTAGGGCTTCCTTTGGGGTTTCATTTAGGGTTTCTTTAGGGTTTCATGTGGGGATGTAGGGTTTCTTTAGGGTTTCATTTAAGGGTTTCTTATCAGGATTTCTTATCGGAATGTCCAAACGTTCATGTGGGTTTCTTTGGGGCTTCTTTAGGGTTTCATTTAGGGTTTCTGTAGGGTTTCATTTATGGTTTCATTTAAGGTTTCATTTAGGGTTTCTTTAGGGTTTCGTTTAGGGTTTCATTTGAGGATTTCACTTAGGGTTTCATTTCGGGTTTCTTTAGGGTTTCATGTAGGGTTTCTTATCAGGATTTCTTTTCATGACTTTCAAACTTTCATGTGGGTTTCATTTAGGGCTTCTTTAGGGTTTCATTTGGGGTTCCTTTAGGGTTCATTTAGGGTTTCATTTAGGGGTTCTTTAGGGTTTCATTAAGGGTTTCATTTAGGGTTTCTTTAGGGTTTCATTTAGGGTTTCTTTAGGGTTTCATTTAGGGTTTCATTTAGGGTTTCATTTAGGGTTTCGTTTAGGGTTTCATTTAGGGTTTCGTTTACGGGTTCTTCAGGGTTTCAGTCTGGGTTTCATTTAGGGTTTCATTCAGGGTTTTTTAGAGTGTCGTTTAGGGTTTCTTTAGGCTGCCATTTAGGGTTTCATTTAAAGTTTTTTAGGGTTTCATTTGTGTTTTCTTTAGGATTAATTTATGGTTTCTTTAGAACTTTAGGGTTTCCTTGGGTTTCACATAGGGTCTTTGGGGTTTCATTTAGGATACAAACAGGAGAGAATAGGAACAGACAATATCAAAACGAGAGGCAGCAAAGACAGGAAGCAGAGAAGCAGAGGAGCAGGAAGTAGAGCAGCAAAAACAGATTACTCAAGGAAAAAAAAGGGGAATAGTAGAAGTAGAACGGCACAGAAACACAAAAGCAGAGAAGCAGGACAAGCAAAAAGCAGAAAAGCAGAGAAGCAAAGAAGCATGAAAAGCAGACAAGCAGGAAAAGCAAAAAGCAGGACAAACAAAAAACAGAAAAGCAGAGAAGCAGAGAAGTAGACAAGCAGAGAAGCAGGAAAAGCAAAAAACTGGAAAAGCAAAAAGCAGAAAAGCAGAGAAGCAGAAAAGCAGAGAAGCAAAGACGCAAAAAAGCAGAGAAGCATAGAACCAGGACCCCCAAAAAAATCCAAAACCTGCCGCGAAAAAAAAATAAATAGATCTCCCGGACTCCCTCAATTATTAGCCCTCGTGAGATCTTGCAAATGCAAATTTGTCCAAAACCAAGAAGAGGATGGAAGTCCCAAATTAGCCTGATCCAGTGCCAACTCTGCAGCCCCAGAAAATCCAAAGGACGAGCTAAGCAAGGACTTTTAGATGGAAAAACAAACACCCCGACAACTCAATTCAACAGGTGGATGAAAAGGCGTTTCCTCTCCTTTTTGCGCAATGCTGGTTTCACTGGCTTCACGGCCTTTCCACGGTATTGTCGCTGCTTTTTGAAACTTTTTGGTGCTTTTCTTGGTATTGTAAATTCTGAGGTATGCCCTCAACATCCGCCTCAATGTGTCAAACATTGCCACACTGTGATTGGCAAAGGTTTGTCTTTGGAGAGGAAAGTGTGCTTGGCAAATTTGGCAAACTCTGGGCCATTGGCCAAGTCAAATAGAAACGAACTAAGTCCCAACGACCCCAGTAAACCAGGCCTGTGCTCAAGCCCTAGTCACCCAGTCAAGCAGGGTCTTGAACCGACAGGGAATGTTTACCAACAAACAGAAAGTCAAAACTAGGGCAGACAGCAGCCGGTCCGAATATATATATATATATAAAGACTGCATGCTCCTTTTTTCTGATACAGCAAGACCGGATTTGTCAGAAAAATACTAAAACAGAAGAAAAATTCTCCATCTGGAAAGTTGTCATCTGGGCTTAACACACTCCCCTCCCCGCCATCCCAGGGAGAGGAGTACGTCCCTATGCCTCTTACCTTTCTCGCCAAGTCGAGTCCAGTAAGCCCAGGCATTTCTTTGATAATGTTTCAACTTTCCATCATTTGACATCCCCCTTCATCAACCCAACAAAACACCAACAAAACAGAGAAAAAGGAAACAGGGGGGTCTCCCTCCACGTCCCCCTGATCTTCTCACAAGAGAAAGCTCAAGCATTTCACTTCCAGCGTGGTAAGGTTGATTTCAGTGCATTGGCATATACAGTGTGAAACGGTTTCAAATTCTTAGGCGGTATATTCATTTCAGCTAAAGTGGCGAGACCTTCATTGAGGTACGTTCTGGCAGTACGAGCAGCCATCCACCTACCCTGTAGCAGGATACGATCCAGAGATCCATGCTGCCCAAACCAAAAGGTTGCCCCTCCTTGGCGGAGGGAGTAAGGTCGAAACTCCCAAGTATCCAAGGATAACGCCGAGAGAGCATGGGCAAAGGATTTACGCCATGTAGTAGGAGAATGTATCAAGAGCGAACCAGGAGAAGTAGCCCGCTTCCATTGGGCTAACCGACGGATAACTTCCGCAACTGTGACAGTGACGCTTTCCGCAGCTCCCACTCTTTTACCTCCTTTTGTAAGGCCTAAAGAAATGACCGCTGTGCGGTGTTGAGCGTCAATGGTAACATCTTTGTTACGAAGTCCCAGGAGTTCTCCAGTTCGCAACATGGAGTAAAAGCCTATTAGCAAGGACAAGGCCATGCTACAATCACGGTGGAAGACAAAATAGCCAACTAACGATAACAGGACCTTCTCAGGAAGAGGGGGAGCACGACAAGGAATCTCATTGATATTCCAAGTTTTCAATAATCGCCATGCTCCTGGTATAGCACCCTTCAGAGAAGGGCTAGTATCCTGCAGAGCTGCTAAGGTATCCGAGGCTAAGCCTCGACCTTCGCCAGTTGACCATAGATGTTCAAGGTAGTCACACAACAGATTGTCCATATGGGTTTTTTGGCGGGGAAGATCCAAGGAATTGGTAGTAAGGAAGTCATAGAAGCGTTGCTTGGCTTTATCATAGCGTGCACGAGTACGAGGTTGGAGAGTCAGACTTTTCAAAGTGCCCATCTGTTTTCGGATTCGCTGCCTATCTCTCTGGTTCCTACCTTCTAGGCGTTTCTGACCTTTTCCCATTTTCGGCACAGGACCCTACGGGAGGGTCGGTCTGCAGGATTCTGGGAGGTGTGAACGTAAGTCCACACCGGATGAAGGTTGGCAACCAGGAGGTAGGCATTAATCCGCATGATGGTTCTTCGCAATTTTCTGCTGGAGCTGCGGCCCCGACTAAGGGAGTGAAGGACCACTAAAGAGTCCGTCAGGTGCACTATTTTGCACCCCTGCAACTTCAGCTTGGTGACCCAGTACTTGACCGTAGTTAACACCGCCCGCATCTCCAACGTGCTCGCCCTTACTTTTCCAGCACCATCCACCGACTTCCTTCCATTTCCATAATTTACTAGGCACACTGGCTCTCAGCCTGTGGTGCTTCACCATTGCCTCCGATGCCCCCTGAAGGAGAAGGTCTTCTCCCTTGATGGACACTAGTCCAGTCAAGCGACGGGCCAGACCGTCATCTGGGTGCACAAAGGGGTTCTCCCGCCGAAGGGGAGGGCGCTGTAAGATCATTTGGAGGTGAGTTGCACGCCCAGGGGTCATGCGATCCACCAACTCCTGTAGACTCACCTTTGGGATCAACCCCAAACGCTCAAAGAGTTGCTTCAGTAAGCAAACTACCACTCCCACACTCCAGGAGTTTCCCAACAGGGTCTTACGAATGTCTTCCGCCCAAGTTGTAGAACGATCTGCCTTCCGGACACATTGTTGTGTGTAGTTGACGGGGAAGCCCAAAATGGCTTCTCGCTCCACCACACTGGCTGGGCGAACGGGCTGGTTCTTGTGATGCACGCAGTACTCCTCTTTGTACTGGTAGGGAGGGTACCGATGTGAATCGGCGTGCCACCGCTCCAAGGTGGGTTGGTCACAAGTGTGAAGCCCAGCGGGTCGGCGGCCAGGTGTCTCGGAAGGTCGGGAGGTAGTGAATGTGGCCAATCGATTTCCAGGAGGTATAAACCATCCCGCTTCCAAGAATGCCTTTTGATCTACTTCAGCAGAGAGGTGGACAGTCCGAACTCGATTCCACCCCAGGCCATCATAGGCATCTATTCCCAGTCCTGCCTCCTCCTGAAGCTCCCACGTAACCCAATACAGGCGGGGCCTGCGGGCCAAGGAAAGCCCTGCAGCGTCCACCCTGTTAGGCAACAGCCCGAGGTCTTGAGACATCATAGTGCGGTCTGTCTCGTCCATCGAGGCCACACTCTCAGTGAAGAGATGGACCTGGGCCCATGGCATAGCTTCTTGTACAAGCTGTTGAATCCGTGGGATCTCCTTGTAGAGGCAGCTGCGATGGTCTCGCTGAGAACCTCGGCGGTCAGCGTTCAAACCGCTCACCCCCTGGCACGGGGGTCCCGCCCCAATCAAAACTACTCCCACAGAGGAGTATTCACAAGCCCAGTTACGAACTTCCTCCGCGGTGACGTCCTGGACTGTGGCAATGGTTCGGCTGCCAGGGAATGCGCTCTCAAGCACTCGATTAGCGTGGGGGTTACACTCCACACTAATGTGCCCAGCCACGGGTAGCTGCAGCACATCCGCTGCCACCCTCAGAGCTCCAATACCATCAAACAAACCCACCGTGAGAACCTCCACAGTGTCCAGCGGCTCAGGAAACTCACCCCGCATCAGAGCCCCCTGCGCTGCCAGCCCATAGGCCGTGAGGCCAGTAGAGCAGCTAATGCCTCCACCTGTTGTGGACGCATCCGATGCTGTGACTTGGGGGTACATGCCCACTCTGAAGTCCATCTGCGCAAGAGGCAATAAGGCCACAAACCGGACCAACTCCAATTTCACTGCCCGGGGTATAGCCAACTTCACCACCGGGGGGAAACCTTTGAGGTGCTCCATATGCCGCCATATCTCATTCAAAGCACACAGGAGGGGTCTTCGAAACATAGTGATATACACCAGACCCCCCGCCACTACCTGCAACTCCCGTAAGGAGGCCTTGGAGCGGCACACCAGCTCCCAAGCCAAACCCATATACTTGAGAACCTTCTCAGGTTTGGCATGGGCCACCCCCTCTCTCCCATCTAGGAGAGCTCCCTGAATTTCTGCCGAACAGGAGCTGTCAACTGACTTCTTGGGGTGGCGCGGCAATTCCAGCAGTGAATACTGCTGCCGCAGTGCCAGCTGGTGCAAGGAAGGTTTCCCTTCAATCTCTTCTACAAACCGTTTGTCAACCTTCCTAACTTCATCCCAATTATCAAGATAAACCCGATACAAATCCTTACCCATGGGCGCCGGCCTGTCTCTGCGGAGTTCGGCTTCTCCTCCAAGATCCGTCTCGCAGTTTGCCAGGCTCCACCTCACAACGTTGCGGTGAATGTGCTGAGCGAGACCCACTGAATTTATAAATCCCATGGGAAGTACCTGAGCCACTAGGTGGCATGGCTCACCCTTCCACTGGGCCGGGACAAACTCAGTGGGGATCTCTCGAGCAAATCCCATAAACTTCATCCAAGAATCAGGGACCCGAAACAAATAATAAAAACACTTAATGTCTTCACTATTCATCACCGCAATCTCGTTTTCCTCCAAATAAAAGGCACTCAGCCCTGCCAAGGTAGGAAGTGTGCCTACGTCCCCTTGGATGGACCGACATAGTTTGTTGAGCGGAACCATATTCATGATTAAACGATGAAGTTCAATTCCAGCATCAGAGAACTCATTCTTGGAAACCGCGAACAAGCCGTTAAGGAGGGGTCTATCGTCAACATGATGTAGAAGATGTCGGGGGTACACTCCACAAATTCCCGTAGATAACAAACCTTGTACAACTCCACACCAGTCGGCATCAGCAACCATTATACGGGGTGTATGACCCAGAACTTGCAATTCAGGGGGAAGAAGAAACTCCTCGAAGCAGTCGATATAATGTTTGCAGCCACCACTACAAAAATCTGACAGCTCCAGTGTGCCTACTTCTTTTGGTAAAGCCCCTGCAATACACCCCCAGTTGAAAGCCCTGGCCAGCTTGATCTCTTCCCCTCGGTAGTCGACCCCCTTAACATCAAACAGTTCAGAAAATCCCGTCTGGGGAACTTGTTCCTCCCAGTCGCACATCCTACTCAAAAAACGTAGCAGCTCGGAGACCAACCTTTTTTGCGCCTCATTCGGGGTTGAGGTCCGTGGCCCAGAAACCCCCGCAAGGGAGTTGAGCCCAAGGAGAACTGCGCGCAGCCAAAGCTCTTGTTTCTGGGGAACCCCAGGATAATCTCCCAGAGGCAATGGAAATATAGTATCCGATGCCGTGGACAAGGTCTTGCTGGAACGATCCCACATAAAATTCTGGAGAGATTCCACCAGGGGTCCCCCCAATTCGAAAAACCGCCTGCCTGCAAAACTAAGCAAGTCTGAAGACTCGCCACCTGTACTAGTCGCCACTGGCTCCAACAGCTTCATGTCCGAGCCAACCAGCATCGCGGGCTGAGGGGGCTTCCCAACTTCCTGCAACTCTAAAGCATTGGGCTGCCACCCCCCATCATGCAGGTGAGACTGATCAGGCCCTTCCGCCAAGTACGTACGACTTGCGGTGGGACCACAAAAGTTTGAATTCCTCTCAGATCTAGGTGTGTCTAGGGGAGGCTGGCGCTTCAAGCCGTATAGTGGCCTGCCACCCCCCGTCCACACCCCTTCAGTGCCCATCACCCCAGGTGCCAGCTGAGGTGACGAACTATCACCCATGTCATCCTCTCCAGGCCTCATCGCTTCATCGCCTCTCTTAGGAGCCCTCCTCAGCTCCCCTTCCCCTTCTTGGGGTCTCCCTTCTCGCCCTCTGGCTTCTTGTAGTCGCCCTTTCCTGCTTTGCCCTTCCGATCTCCTTTCTTGCCGCTGCCTTTTGTCCACTCGTCGCTCCTCCCTGCGCCCGCTCCTCGAGTGCCGTACGGCCTTGAAGCTTCTGCTCGGGCTTTCCCATCTTCCCTCGCCCTTCGGGCGGCCTCCTGGAACTCTGACGTCGTGGAGATGGTAATGCCCTCGCGTGGTAGCAACTCTTGTTGTTGTGCTACCGTATAATGGCAGCCGTTCGCCATCATTTCTAAGGCCTTTACTCGCTGAGAGCAAAGGTCCAGGCTCTCGGCGATGCGGCCTCGGATCATCAAATCCAATGCCTGGCACAATGTGTGCGCCTCTCTCGCCATGGCGGGAGCCATCTTGGAGGAGAGATGGCTCTTGAAGTACCTCAGGTACAAAGGAGGTAGGGCTCCTGCGCCTACCTCCCAAAGCCCGCCCTCGCTGGTCACGAGGTTCTCGCCTATCTCCTCGACGGCCGCCGCTGACAAAGTCCCGGGAAGTTTCTTTCCGATCAGCTGGACTCGGCCTGCAGCTCCAAACAAACTCGCGTCGCCCCGGGTCGGGCTGGACGAGCCGCTGCTGCTGGAGCTGCTGCTCCCTGATACGCCCTTGCTCTTCTTGTGAGCCAGACGGGCGGCTCTGCGGCAAAAAGTCCGCCTCACACTGGGGTCTGGATCGGCTCCGGTGTGCTTGAAGATAACGGCAACCTCCTTCTGCCCTTCCACCTTCCAGTCTTTTCGTTTTTTCTTCTTGTGCTTTGATTTCTTCTTGTCGGCCTTCTCTTCGGAGGAGTCTCCAGGGGGCATCTCGCCTCCCCTGACATCCCCGGCTCTGCGTTCTCGGGCTCTCTGCATCCTCTCTTTGTCTGCTCTCACATCGGCCAGTTCGTCCTCCTGGTCGGGACGCCGCTCCTCCGGGACCATGTTGGTCATCCAAGGTTCTCGATGAGCTCCAAGACGTCGAAGTACACGAGCGTGCATTACTCCTTCGGCATGAGGGCCGCCTGTGCACGCCTGGGGGCAGAGATGCACCTCCACCACATGGCGCTCCCGCTCTGAAGCCGCTCTCAACAGCTGCTCGCTCTGCGTGCCCAGGACAGGCCCTTTCAAGTACAACTCCCCCTTGCGGAGGCTGACCTCTTGTACTCGGACTACTGCCCTGGCTGAGGCCTCCCAGTAACTGCCCGTCACGACCTCCACATCTTCCATGGCCCGGCATTGCTCTAAGGTGACGTCCCAGGCGTTGAAGACTTCCTCAGGCTGCTCCTCACTGTCTAGATCCCTTGCTGGACGCTTCAGGCTGCGGGTTCTAGCTCGCCCCACAGGAAGAGCCGCAGCAGGCCTCCTCCGAGGAGGCATCAACGCCTTCCCCAATGGCGGCGGTTCCGCCTTTGAAACTCCTCTCGCCTCTTCCTCTTGGTAACACCTTTGTTCTTCTGATAGTGAACCCCCTGTCCAGGGGGGGGCTCCCAGCGCCTAGCTGGAATGGCCCCTTGCCAGAACCTCCCCAAGGGCCTTTGACTAGGAGGCGCTGACTGTCGATGGCGTTGCGGTGGACGAGATGGACTTCTTGGGCTCACAGGTCTAGCCTTCTTTTCTCGGCGGCTGGCACGTTCTTCTGAGTCAGATCGAGTGACCCCAGCAGGCCTCACTGGACTGGCCAAAGGACTCCGCGCCGCTCTGGGCCTACTGCGGCCACTTCGGGATCTTCTGGCCTCCTTGCGTCCACCTCGGTGTGATGAAGAGCTCCTGCGTCTCGGCTTCTTGGACTTCTTCTCCTTCTTGGCGACCCTGGACGATGACGATGCAGCCTCAACCCTAGGAGGATCCTCTACTTCCCGTTTTACCAGCTCTGTGCGCTGGCGTCCTAGGTCACTCCCACCAGCCCCTGGCACAGGCGGTGGGGGTGGAGGCGCAGGTGGCGCCTTGGCGGTGACCCCAGGAGTGGGCGGCTCCTCACGCCCCACTCCCTCAGGAGGGTCCTCAACCACTCCCCCGGCTCGAAGCTGAAGGGGATTGGGGGCGACCCCACGGGCGACTTCCCCTAGATCCTGAGCTTCCCCCAGCCAAGCCCGCAGCCGCTGAAGTAAGACCTGCTCAGCTTCTGCAGGTACTTCAGGGCCTCGGATCACCGCACTCAGGCGGTCAAGGGTCCTGCACACCTGGCAAAGCCCTCCACCAAACACCACCCACTTGGTGCCACAGGGTTGACACCGAGCGGGGGGCATCTAACTGAAGCTTAAACCGAAATGCTAAGATCAGAACCAGAAGATGAGTCTTTAACCCCGGGGCGGAGTGTCATATACATGCAATTTCCCAGATCTTCCGAGCAATACAAACCAACACGAAGCAAACAAATCGAAACAAACCTACCATAACCATCCATAACCATCTATAAGCTACCCTCAGTCGCTGCAGCCCCCTGGACACATGTCACTCGGCACTGGCCAAGGAGAGGCAGGCACTGCAGGCACTGTCAAGCTCACCTTTTGCCGCATTCGCGAGTGAAAAGTTTCTGCCAAGGGATTTGCCTCCCAAAGAAGACTGCTTGGGCTACGCAGCTGTACCAAGCGGCACAGGATGGCACAGGATGGCACAGGGACTAGGATGCAAAGAGCCCAAAGAGCTCTTTCAAAGCGGAGGATCTTAGATCCATGGATTACGTTGGAATAAATCACTCTTCCAGCAACTCGACAGGGAATGTGAATATATGCAAAAAATTGCGAAAATAAAACAAAATAAATATGATGTTTTGGAAAGCTTGGCACTAGCCATGTGAAAAAAAAAAAATATCACATAATTGGATATTTAGCAAACTCTGGGCAAACTCTGGTTTTCATCAAGCTTGGATGAGCCCAGGAGCTACAGCCAGTCCAGTGGGCTTCTTACACCTCGCAAGCGTGTCCAAATCTTCTGTTGCAGTATGGCACAGTATGGTCTTCGGAAATTCTCATGAGTCCCAACTCTGCGTTGCTCTCATGTCATCTACAATGTAATAATTCTGATGATTAATGTAATCTCATGCCTGTTTTCTAGTAGGCTGTGAAATACGTCGTCAAATGGGCTTGGATATCGCCAGCTGCTCTCACTCATCGTCGCTGTCATCAAACCTTGGTTCGAATAATCATGTGAACATAATATGTGAAGCCCCTAGAACGCTGCTGGTTCTCATTTGCAAATTGCACAGAGCCCAAGTCGAACCAAAAGGCATATGGCATACAGCTAGCTAAAAGCTTCTGTATATCCTGCCAGGTGCTGCTTGTCAAAATTTTCATTCTCACCATTTGTGGTTGCTTAGAGTCTCAGAGGGATTAGAGGGTAATTTTCTTTGTGCCAACATCACCCAGCTACCAGCCCGGCCCTACACCAGTCCATAGTCAGTCCATGTCAATCTACGAGCTGAGAAGCTTGACGGAATTCACACCTTGATCAATTTCACCGCCGCCTCTCCAAGAGGCTCGCTTTTTCTTTGCCATTTCTTTCCGGAAACCTTAGCAATTTCATCCAGTTTCTCAACAATTCTGGCTTGAGTGATATTGAATGGCAAGTCAGATAAGTCAGGTTGTTGGCAAATCCATCACGGGAGAACAGCTGAGTCATTGTAGAAGTGTCATGGCTACGGCAGTTCGATTATGATAATATATTAATAATATATGATAATCATGTTCAAACATTTCAAAATGAGAAGCCTTTGCCCTTGACTTTCAGCAAGTCCTCGGACGCTTTGTCTGCCCAGCTGTCGCCCTTCGACAAACCAAACTTCTGCTTGGCAAGATGTGTGTTGTCCAGCAGTCGTTCGTCCTCGAGAACTGCACACGACCCGGCCAAAAACCCAATGCTGACGGCTGGCAAAAGAATAGCTCTGGTCAAGTTTCTCCCGGGTACACATGGATACACCACTGCATGCTTGAAGCGAGGGTGTTGCAATGAATACTAAAAAAGGTGCAGTTGGCTGATGGCTGCTGGCACTCTCCTTGATCGTTGCCTTCCACTTGTCATCATCAATGCGTTTGAATGGAGTGCTCTTCTTATCCTCCTTGTCTTCCTCTCCGATTGAAACTGGGAGGGGAGGAGCAAAGCGAGCAAAAATAGGGCTCAGAGCCGTACCTATGATGCTTTAGCAACGTTGCATGCAACATCTTGACTCAGGCCCAGCATAGTTAAAAGTTTCTTCACTACAGCATCTACGGATATGTACGGCGAAGACAAATTCGCACTGACGGTCTTGTTGACTTTATTCAGTCATGGCCGTCAGTTAGAACCGGATTTATGATATCAATTAATACCAAACATATAGTGACTATAGTGGCTCCTGCAAACCGTCAGTAGCTCACTTGTGTCCCATCAGCGCCTGGTGCCCGGCAAACCTTCCCTAGCAGCTCGCAGCAGCAAACACCACAGCAGCAACGACTACAGCTTGTCTAGTCTCCTCCCTGATTAGAGGATCTCCCAACTTAATTCCTTACTTCCTTACTTACCCAACATTGCAACAGGGGAGACTGATGGTTAGAAGCCCCGCTATAGTTGCAATCAAGTCCTGGTAAGACAAGGATATTTTGTTTTTAGGACGTCCCCTATCGTTTTCCAAGCCCCCAAAAAACACATCTGCACTGAACGCTCCATACAAAATTACTTGACAATAATTTAGATCCCAGCTCATATGAGTTATCACATATTTTTGATGACGGTGGGGCAACTTCTTACTCTCAACTGTGCTTGCCCAACCCGTGCTCACACTTCATAACAAAATATTAAGATTTCGCGAAGATGCATTTTAGATTTTATACCTAATTACATCTAATTACTGAGTTTTGCTGACTGCTCACTGGGATCTCGATTCCTTGAGCCTGGAACTTCAACTGGCTCGTATCATGTGGGCAACGACTTTTATTTTGTACCTGTGGGAAGGAAAGAGTCCGTCGCGCTTCTGATCCTGACCTTAGGTTCTACCCCTGTCACACTGTCGCCTTTTTGGACAGCGGGTCAAGAATCCGTACCTTGTTTTTGGAGTCACACCTGCTTTGGTCTGCACCTCAATGGATCCCGAGCAAAACCTGCATACCACCAAATGCTACTTTCAATTGATAGACACTAATAAGTAAATATAGGAAAATAGTGGAACATATACATATACAATTTACAATCATATATATATATATATGTACACGCACACACACATATATATATGTATATATATGTGATGCATATTAATGTATATTATATATATGCACATATTGCATACATAAGTGAATACACTGAAATAAATGCTGTTGTATATGGCTATCCAGCCAGCACCCGAACGGGAACCCAGCATCAATCAAGGGTGTGTGCAAGTGCAAGTGAACGCTTTTGACATCCCATCACCACCCGTAACGCAAAATACTGCAGCATCAAGTATTGGCAAGGATGGGTGCATTTTTGGGCATTGCGTTCAGCCAGCACCCAATCTGTAGTGTAGAATCGTTTCCATACGCGTTACATGACAAATAATTAAGCACCGGGTCCAAGCAGCATAGAACAATATAGAACATGATACTATAGAAATCTGTAGCCGATTTTGCTGTCCTTCTTTGGCTTCTTGGACTTCTTGTTCACACTGACCTCTGCAACCTCTGGTGCCTCCGCTTCTTCCTGGACCTCTGTTTCAACGACTGGTTCGGCCAAGGCCTGCTCAAATCGGAGCGCTGCAGCAAAACCACGCTTTCGGTTTAGAACGGTTTGGATGGGTTTGGACATGAGTTGGTCGCAATTGGTCGCAAGCTCACCATGCCATGCTTTCAATGTGGAACAACTTGCGAGATCTTAGACTCTTGATGACTCTTATGACTCTTGTCAAATCAGCCACTTCGGCGGCCTGAGTTTGACCTTCTCGTTTTCTTTTCTTGTTGGGCCTCGACCTGCAATCACACAGGATGTCCGAATCAAGAGAATCGCAATCCGCCAATCACAAGGCCATCAGCTGCGCTGCTTGCCACTGCTTGCAAAACAAAGCAAGGGGACTAAAATGGAATGCACAATTGATATGTAAAGTAGACAGATATGATATAAATGGTCATTTTGAGATCCAACCGAAATAAAATGAATATGTTTGAATATGTTTGACACATTCAAACAAGCTTGTGAATTCTATGCGGGCAGTCAGAATCTCCGTTGCTTTTTCAGATCTGATTTTTTAGTCTTCGACATCTTCGATTCTGCACTGCGATACTGGCATTTCTGAGATTCTCTGAGTATGGTGCACTTCGACGGCTTCCTCCAGCTCGAGGGACTCGGGCGCAGTGGCTTTGCTTTCAGCGGTTTCCGCGGGTTCCGCTGCTTCTCTTTGGGCAAGCCATGTCTGGCAGGCAGCCACCAGCTCCAAAGGCTCCAAAGCCTTGGCCTTCTTGGGCTTCACCTCGTGCCGTGCTGCTACGTGCTGTTGGATTCATTATGCTTCATCTTGATATATGCATATCTAATCATATGTATATAAAATATATAGATGTGCGTATATATGTGTGCATGTATATATGTCTATTTGTATTTCTATTTGTATTTCTATTTGTATTTGTATTGTGTTCTATGGTGGGTATGTAGGTATGTAGGTATGTAGGTATGTAGGTATGTAGGTATGTATGTATGTTTGTATGTTTGTTTGTTTGTTTGCTTGTATGTATGTCAGTAATGTATGTAAGTATGTAAGTATGTAAGTATGTAAGTATGTATGTATGTATGTATGTATGGATGTATGTTTGTATGTATGTGTGTATGGATGGATGGATGTATGGATGGATGGATGCATGCATGTATGACTATAGGTATATATATATATTATCGTATTATATCATATTATATAAATTACATTATGTTACATTACAACTGTATTCAATTATACTACAGTACATTATGCTATAATAAACTATATATACTTTAAAAAATATAGCATATTAAATTATATTGTATATTAGTTTATGTATACTATACCATGTTTTGCTATATTATATATATATATTACATTATGCTATATTTAACTATATTGTATTTACCTATATTTAAGTGTAAGTAAATATTATATTTAGTTATATTGAAGTTATATTATGTTTCATTGTATTATATCATATTATATTTAATTGTAGTTATATTATATTATGTTATATCATATGTTTCACGAAGTGATCTACCAAATTATCTACCAAATGATTCACATCATTGAACTTCACTAAAATGTCCTGGGATGCTAAGCAAAACATTGCCCAAATTGCGCGATGCCTTGCAATGCACGCAAGGCAAATGTGCAAAGTCACGTTTATGTCCATTGTTTGCGTCTGTGAGTGTGACACCACGTAAACTGTTGTGCATTTGTGTGCAAGCCCTTGCCTCTTATATCCTGTGTGCATGTGACCCCTGTTGCCCTGCAGTAGCTCTTCTGTGACGAGAGATGACAATGAATTCCAGGTCGGTTTGCCTAGCCTAGACCTCGATAGAAAATAATTGCACGATGCTTTGCACATGCATGGCATTATCAATATGAAAGATTGAAACATGTTCTCCGGGCTTCGCTATTATTAGCTCAGCGATTCCAAACATCCAAGCAAACGTAAGCAAATGGCGATGTGGATCCATGCTTCACTATGTAGCACGGATCAGCTACAACATATATGCACTCCAACCGCTGCCTAGCACAACATTTCAAGCCAGCACGTCCCCCAAAAGTATGCAGGCTAGAAACCACAGGCACATCTTCAAGAGCAGACGTCTCCTTTGTTTGTGTGTTTCAGGAATTCAGGATCCCTAAGACTGGTACATATTGAATTTGTTCCTCGGCTTCGTAGATTTACCAAGCGCGGACCCAAAATTTAACAGTTTTATTTTTGCCACGCGGTCACTCCTTGTCTAGCGCCTTGAGAGTTCGATTTAAGCCGCTTTCGAGCAAGAAACGCCGCACTGCTGGGTAAATATCCTTGGTCCATGTTCCAAAGAAATCACTAAATCATCGTGAATCCAAGCAAATGCAAATCGCAAGTGTGTTGCAAAAGTGAAACATCCTGATTTCCATCGCCTCTGTCTGAAGTCTAAACTAGAATAAACATGAATAATCCCTTCCTCCTAATACTAAACGTCCCCAAATACTAAAAACAGGCGTCCATCTCCAGCTTCAGAAAATTTCAGATTGGCCAATTTGACTTCTAATTGATCCCCTTTAGAAAACAATTTAAAAATCAAGCTACCATTTGTGGGTTTTCCGCCCTCATACTAAACACTAGTCAACCCCGGGGTGTTTATTATTAGGGTCCGTCCGATTTTTTTAGTTTTTTATATCAGGGCTTTTAATTTAGTATTAGGCGGAAGCTTCGAAATCCAATTTTTGGCAATATGTTAATTGCGTTATATAAAGAAATTTAATTGATTTTGAAATCGGAAAAATAGTTTTTACAATTAAAGGCTTTAATTCAATATTAGGGGGAAGCTTCGAAATCCAATTTTTGGCAATATTTTAATTGCGTTATATAAAGAAATTTCATTGATTTTGAGATCAGAAAAACATAGTTATTATTAAGAGTTTTAATTTAATATTAGGGGGAAGCTTCGAACTCCAATTTTTGGCAATATTTTAATTGCATTTAATTGCGTTATACATACTCGTTGGATGCTCACAGGGGGGGTCCAGCCCTGAAATAGTAGTCTCCACTGGCTGTTTTCCAGACGGGCCTGACCCCTAAGGGCCCAAGTATAGCACCTTGAGGGGACCTAGGGGTCAGGCCCCTTGGAATTTATCTAGCAAGTGTGCTGATAAAATCTAGGGACCTATCGTCAAATTTACTAAAAAGCTATAAAAATAGCCATGCACCCCAGGGGCTGGAGCTCCTAGATCTCAGCTGGGAGCATGAAACGACTATGTTATATAAAGAAAATTAATTGATTTTAAGATCGGAAAAACTAGTTTTTATTATTAAGGGTTTAATTTTATTAATAGGGTTCCCTAACAATAAATACAACCCTAATATCCCCTAATACTAAAAACTACCTGCCGTGTTTATTAATAGGGGGGACGTTTAGTATTTGGAGGAAGGGATTAAACTAGAACCCTTGTCCAACCTTCCTTGCCACGGCTCTGACGGGTTTAGCTTCATGGTTCCGGTCGCGGCAACTTTTGGGTGGCTTGGGCCGATGGCTGCAGAGTAGGTCATATGGGCAAGGTTTGCACGCCGTCGTTGAAAACGCAGCAAGTCTATCCAAGTCTAGAAATGTCTAGAATCTTATGCCGTCACAACTTGCGTCACATCGGTTTTAGCATGGTTTACCTGAGGACTGAAGGGAAAGAATTGTATATCAAATAAACTGCCAATACCAGTGCCCAAAATGAACAAAGGCAAGCACAAACCAGAGAATATACCTTTGATAGATCAAATGCTGTTTACAGCGAGGGAGTGGGTGGGAACAAACGATTTAGAGATTTCGATCGATTTAGAACTTTAGAACTGCCAAGAGACATCCTCCACGCTGCTCCCAGGTCGGAGCCACTTGGGGTCAAAGTTCCCCTGCAAGTTTGCGACTCGACCTGGGAACAACCAACACTGGACCAATGTTGAAGCAAATTCGCGGTTACTTAGGCAGCATCAACACAAAGTTGTGCATGTGCAATCACACAGACATAATATGCACGTGTATATTGTGTATGTATATGTACAGTATATGATTATATATTACATACATATATATATATTGCGCTCTAAAGCTGACGTGCAAGTAAAAACTCGCCAGCAAATGCCACCAATACTGAAATGACAAATCGTCCGAACTCAACATTACAATGGCGATTTATTGCAATTCTTTCTTGTGTTCCTTTTTTTGTTTCTGCCTGCGCTGCTAGCCTTGTTCTTCCTGCTGTTTTGTTGTGGGCTAATATACAGAATTCAGGTTAATCCTCAGCATTCCATCAGGGTTTCTGATCAACAAAAGCTGCATCCCCCAGTTTTCAACAAATATGGTTCGTTCATTGGCTAACAAGATTAAACAATATTAGACACACACACACAAAGGTTGGGAAAAACGCCACCGGCGCAACTCTATCAAATTTCAACTATGTTCATACGTAGTTATGTCTATGTGAAGGACACCTTAGAAGGGATGAACCAAAGCCAACTTTTTTCATTCCCAAATTACGATCAGATTTGATGGCCGCGGCCACGAGCATTTAAAAGGTGGTGGGTGCATCTCTGATCTCCTTCGCTGTCTGATTTATCCCTGCCAGCACCAGATTGGCATGTCGGCATGTCAGCCGCTAGAATTTCGAATCTGGAATCAAGTCTGTCCCAATCAAGATTTTGCTGCCCGCCCACGAGGAAAAACTGCGCGGAGACACTGGTTTTGAATTGCTCCCAAGCCTGAACAATTTACGTGTCCAACTGATGTCTATGGCATTCTCAAAAGAAACCTGAGCCTGAACCCTCCAAAAAGCAAATAAAAGCAGCACAATAAGTAAGTGTGTTGTACCTTTTGCCTTTTGGGTCCTTTTCATCCTTTCTGCCGCAGTTGCATCTTGTCTGCCTCGTTTGGGAAATGTCAGCCTCGTCTTTTCTAATCGCTTGAACTTTTTCAGTTGCCACATGTCAATCAAGTAAATCAGTCCTTGAATGTGCCTGCAAGTCAAATGGTTGGCTTCGAAAACTTCGAGGAATTGAGAACTGTTTTTGGCCATTATGGAGCTGAAAGTGGCACAACAGCCCTGTGCCCCTGTGTCACAAAAACACGTCACAGGGTGTAGAATATAGTTTTTGGTATTTTTTTTGCCTCAGGTTTTGGATTTTTTTTTGGTTTTCTTTCCTGGTACCATTTAACAGTTTGGAACTAGAACCTGCCATTTTGCATGGTATTTGCTACATTTTGGCATGGTAACTTTGCATTTTGCATGGTATTTGCTACATTTGGCCATGTTCGCCTTCCATTTTGCATGGTATTGTCACATTTTGGCACTTCAACCTCTCATTTGCATGGTATTTGCTACATTTTGGTACTTCAAACGTTCATGTGGGTCTCTTGAGGGTTCTTTAGGCTTCCATTTAGGGTGTCATTTAAGGTTTCATTAAGGGTTTTATTTAGGGCTTCTTTTGGGGTATATTTAGGGTTTCCGTAGGGTTTCATTTAGGGTTTCTTTACGGTTTCATTTAGAGTTTCATTTAGGGTTGCTTTAATGTTGGGGTTTCTTTAGAGTTTCATTTAGGTGTTTTTTGCCGGTTTTAATGTAGGGTCTCTCATCCGGACTTTTTATCAGGAGTTCTAAACGTTCAAATGGGCTTCTTTAGGGCTTCTTTAGAGTTTCATTTAAGGTTCTTTAGGGTTTCGTTTAGGGTTTAATTAAGGGTTTTATTTAGGGTTTCATCTGGGGTTTCATTTAGGGTTTCTTTAGGGTTTGAGTTTAGGTTTCATTTAGGGTCTCATTTAAGGTTTCTTTAGGGTTTCATTTAGAGTTTCTTTAGGGCTTCTCTAGGGTTTCATTTAGGGATTATTGAGGGTTTTATTCTGGGTTTTAGTTAAGGTTTCTTTAGGTTTTCCTTTACATAGGGTTTCAATGTAAGGTTTCATTCAGTTCATTCAAGCTTTTTAGCGTTTCATTCCAGGGTTTCTTATCAGGATTTCTTTTCACGATTTCTAAACGTTCAAGTGGGTTCCTTTCGGGCTCCTTCAGGGTTTCATTTAGGGTGTCATTTAGGGTTTCTTTAGGGTTTCTTTAGGGTTTCATTTAGTGTTTCTTTAGCGTTTCATTTGAGTTTCAATTTAGGGTTTCATTTAAGGTTTCATCTAGGGTTTCTTTAGGGTTTCAATTTAGGGTTTCAGCTAAGGTGTCAGTTATATAAGGTTTCATTTAGTTTTTTTTTCGGTGTTGTTTAGGGTTTCTTTGGGATGTCATTTGGGGTGTTATTTAAAGTTTCTTTAGGGTTTCATTTATGGTTTCTTTAGGATTAATTATGCTTTCTTTAGGGTTCATTTATGGTTTCTTTAGGGTTCATTTAGGGCTTCATGTAGGGTTTCTTATCAGGATTTCTTTAGGGCTTCTTTGGGTTTCACCTAGGGTCTTTCTAGGGTTTCATTTGGGATACAAGCAGAACAGAATAAAGCAAAAGAAAATGAAAAACAAAGAGACAGTAGGAAGCAAAGAAGCAAGGAGCAGGAAGTAGAGCAGCAAAAACACATGACTGAAGAAAAGAACAAGTTGAATAGTAGAAGTAGAAAGGCACAGAAGTACAAAAGCAGAGACGCAGAAAAGCAAAGAAGCAGGAAAAGCAAAAAGCAGAAAAGCAGGAAAAGCAGAGAAGCAGGAAAAACAAAAAGCAGAAAAGCAGAGAAGCAGGTGGAGCAGGAAAAGCAGAGAAGCAATGTAAGCAGAGAGGTAGAAAATCAGAGAAGCAGAAAAGCGGAGAAGCAGAAAATCAATCAAACGGGAAAGCATAGAACCAGGAACCGAAAAAAACTCCAAGAATAAATAGCTCTCCAGGGAGAAATCCCGATTCGCGTTTTTGATGAGGTTTTGCGCATTTTTTGCGGTTCAGTTTGTTCCCAACAAATGCATGTTATAACTATAACCCAACACAACCCACCTATTTCTGCCTCGACATGTTGACACCTAGTTTGCAAAATGGCTCATTGATACTTGCTGATAGCTTTAGGGAGCATGGGTTTACTGGGCTTGCCTCACATGCCGTTTGCAAAAAGTTGTGTTTGCATATAGTTGTGCCATTGAATCATGCCAAGTATCTGGCACGGATACCGTTTGGCGTAAAAATGCGGTTTGGTTCGTTTTGCCCTTTTGGGTCGTTTTGCCCAAAAAATGTCGTCATGAGCAAAACATGGTCACTGAGTCACTGACCAAAAAAAATAAACAAAAATGGTTTTCGGATAGTCCGGAAATGTAAGAAATGTGCTGCTGCATCTGTTCAAACAGAAAACTTACAGTACTTATTATTGGGAGGAGATTTTTCCTATCAAGCACTCCTGAATCGGAGCCCGCTCTTGTATCCCGTAGACGTCTTTCATCTATGCAAAAGGTAGTCACTGCAGGTTGGTTCAAGCACATAGGAATCAGAACAGTTTTACTTCCTACCCCGATCAAGCCTACAGATTTTGCTTAGAAACATTCCCCACAAAACTACGTGGAGATATTCCTGAAACAGTCCCAAATCGGAGCAGCTTTTGTATCCCTAGAAGTCTTTGCTAATTTGCAAATCCTGAGCAGCCCTACCCCCAACCCAGAGCGACATGGCACATCTCCAAAAAGAATCAGTTTCACCACCAAACCCACGCCCAATTTCGACATTTTGTTCCACTCTTCCCTGCTCCCCCCACAGGCCCCTTAACTTGCTCACTCGCAATGCAAACTTCAGCCTAGCCTACCAACTGGTTTTCGCACAATATCCTCATATATATATATATAATGCAGTACATATAACTTTCTAATCTTTCTAAGGAACAAGGAACACCTTGGAATTTCCGCCGTCCTTTTGACTCACAAGCGCACTTTGTTTAAATTCTTCATTGTCTTGTGCCAAAATGTGCCAAACACAAGTCCGCATGAACCATTCATTACTGTAAACCTTTTCATTTGCTTGCAAGGACCTGATCAGAAGGGTCGGTGCCTGCAGAACTGAAACTAGCCTGGTTTATCTTTAGCCTAAAGGTGCGTTTCATCTGATGCTGCTTTTCTCAGGGCTTGTTGTTTGAAACTTTTTGGCTGAAACTGGTCCGCAAATATCCGCAAATCATGGCAGCAAAGTGGTCGTTGTGCCTCGCCTCGTGCCTCTGCCTGCAAGGACAGCGCAGCATCCGCAAGGTCTGTGGCACAATCTGCGGTGACCACGTCGAAACCTGCCTGTGCAGTGGCGCCAAAGGCATGAAGTTCGATGCGTGACATACGTCATATGATGCGCAAACGATACGCGAGTGGTGAATGAACAATCCCAAGGAAGATACACAATGAGACGCGTGCGTATACACCCTTCAAAATGCACTTCAAAATGCTGTTACCATACTCGTGCACTTGTGCTGGCTGTAGGGCCGGGGGGGTGAATTTAAACAATCAATTGCTACATACTGCTACCAAGGTCGTGCACTTGCTTTGTAGTGCAGGGTGGGGTGGGGTGGGAATTTTATGAACTCTTGCTATAGTCGTGCAACTGAATTTATTTATACTAGTAAGACAGGTGAAGGGAATTTTAGACGACTCTTACAGTACAAGAGTCATGCAACTGCGTTAAGGAAATTGAAACAACCCTTACCAGACTTGTGCGCACTTGCATGGATAGTTCCAGAAGAAGAGAAGCAATCTTTCGGCTCAGAACTTAAATAAGAACCCATTAACCAAAAGGAAACTGTTCTCCCAATCAAAATTGCAAATCTGGCCGAGCAAAGCTTTTGGACCTTGGGGTGGGATCATGTTGGCTACCAACTTGTCCAACATGCCCCTAAAGCAGCATCGTCTGAATACAACAATTCAATCGTTGACTGTGCGCCAAAGCGCCAATGCAACTACCAATGATGAAACATCAGTGGCCTCTCACCCGGACAACTTGTCATCTGCAATGCGGGAACTTGATAAGGAAAGTAATTAATTATATAATCAAAATAGCAGATGACAGAGGGAAACAAAATGCTGCCAGAAAAAAAACTGATAGCCAACTTGCGCAATTTGAGATTAATGATAAGGGGAGATAGGAATGACAACGCACACGCATAGAAATGGCTGTGACAAACTGAGCATGTGTATCTATCAGAAATATCTGCACATGCATGTCCATCAATGCCACCAAACTCTGCGGTTGACAAAACAATAATGAACGCAAACCATTTCCGCCATTTGGCTGAACGATGCTGAACGCAGGTGCTGGCACCAAAAAAACCCTTTGCTGCCACAGAGCGTTCTGGAGGGTTGGCAGGGCATAGCAGGCTCCTCGTGGAAACACCATAAGTGGCACCTGTCCAAGTCTAGACGTTGGAAGAGCTTTGGCCGCAGGGAACAAGAGTTGAAATATCGACGAGTAGCTCGGAGAAATGATACAGTAAAACAAAAACATGTGCAGCTGTGCAGCTATGATCGCTGGCAATCTCTTGACATGCACTGCGCATGAGGAGGGACAAGTCTTGATGTGAGCCTTACCAAGCATCAACTTTGAACTTCCGATCTACCAAAGGTTCCTCAAACTCTGACTGTCCCAGAGTACCCAAGTTGGTGTATAGTTGGTCAGTTATGATATGTTATGATCAGTTGTACCAACTTGGTGTTGTTCTTTGTTATTCTTTGTTCATCGTTGCTCTATGTTGTAGCAGATTATTAGTCTTCGAATGTCTTCGATGCTCGTCCTGCACCTCCGGATGTCGTTCCTTCAAAGCTGTTGCAATGCGAGCCATGGCCGGCACAGCAAAGTCCTCCAAATTTGCCTCAGCTCCACCGCGTACCGCGTATCACCGCGGCAAACTCTTCAAAAACTGGCCATTATTCTGAGAGATGCTGAGACCGAATGAGATCCAGCAATACATTGACACTTGAACTCATCAAGCAATTCATGGTTGTGCAAATCAAAAGCTGTCATTTGAATTCACTAATGAATTGATTCATGAGGTCAGTCACATCATTAAGCAATATAAAGTTGTGCTCCATTTTGGGTTTGTCTGATCAGGGCCCCTGAGGCATGCCACTCATCGAAATGCAGCCCATGAACATATGGCAGTACTGAGCTGCATCTCGTGCCACACCGACACAGAAATGCTAAGTTCTTTTTGATCTTTTTGTATGCTGTTGTCCCAAATTGTCACAATCTGAGCGTGCGTGCTGGACTGATGTGCTCTCCCATTGCCTCAAAGACCTGCAGCACGTGGCAGCCGTTTCGCACCTGTGCTGAGAGATACTCGATGATGACCTCCGCGACTGCGTGAGATCTTGGCGCATGGGGTGACACCGTGACACCGTCCAGATTTCAAAGTGAAGCGACGTACCCTACCGAATCTATCCGAATCTAACATGATCTAATCATCGACTACCCAATTGTAGATATTACATGATATTACTATAGTAGTATCTGGTAATTAAATATTAATATCTCTCTCTATATATATATTAATATATATATATATCCGTACATATTAAAATATATATATATATATTAATATATATTAATATATCTATATATCTATCTATCTACAAGTCCAAAGGCACAACTACTCAATGGATTTGTGCTACAGTGCTGGACTTGTTCGCACATATGGTGTTACCTGAGCATGTAAAACTGTGAAGCCAACCTCGCTGAGGAGAGACATGAGTTCTTGCGATGCTTCTGGGTGCTCTTTCAACCAAAGCTCGCCTGCATCAGTCCTGGCTTGCGCAAAACCACAATTTGGAGTCTCGGCAAGGCACCTTGCAAATCATCATATCACTGAGCACAATGCCGTTTTTCTTTTTTTTAAACCCTGACCCTATACTAAGAAAAGAATAGAATCAACAACCCTTAATATGCGCCCCTTGTCCGTTTCTGCTTTGCTTTTACTTTCTTTGGTCTGCTGGAGGCCTTTTGACTGCAAGCGAACTATGAACACCACAAATGTCTCACTACCTATTTGGGACCATGAAAAACATTGAAAAACCACATCCATTGAATTCCGTTGAGACGCCTTTTGTGGAGGCAATGCATGGGCTATATTGATCCAGCTACACAGGGAACTGCAAACAATCAGCGCTGCCGTCTGATAGTCCTAACAATGACCTTACCCCTCAAACAATATCCCAAGGTATCCTTTGGTCTTGTATAGATATATGACACATGGATATACCCATCCTATGCATATATCTATGTGTATATATATAGTATACAGTATACACTTATAATGTAAAATATGTACGGGACTCTATTATGGCACGTTCAATCTTCATTGAAACAATAACACCTGCTGGTAAGCTGTTGGGGAATTGCTTTGAGTGGAGCACTCCGCAACAACTCCTGTCAGACTGGATGGTCTGCTTCTTTCTGACCTTTTTCTGCCGGATGACAGAAGCAGTTCTTCTGCTTCATGTTCAATGCTACCGGGGAACCACCGGGGAACCACCGAGGATCCCGGTATGATTCAGGCTTCCTAGTATCTAGTTTCAGCTTCAGCGGCAGAGCCAGGAACCGACAGCAATGGCAAGACGATACGACGATAAGTTGATAAGATTCATTTTTACATTCATTTTACATGTAAAAATATGTAAAAATCTCACCATCCTTACAGCTCCAAGAAGCGCGGACTGCGGAGCACGTTTTTCAGTGGACCGGAGTGGATGTCTGAGATCATCAGTGTCCTAAGAACCGAAGTCCAGTCCAACTCTGACCTCCAAGACGGTCCAAGACTCAAAGATCTGCACAAAAAATCAGATTGACTTTGGAGTCTTTGGAGTTCTCAATCTGAATCACATCCCCAGCGATCTCAAGCCGTTGGCCAACTCCTCTGCCTGGGGCTCCTGGGCTCCCAGGTGCATCGTTGAGTATGCCGCAATGCGATGCAATGCCCATATTTCTCAAATGCTTTGGTCACATGTGTTATACGTCTGCTATACTGCTATACACACATTCAATGTATACGTGTGTTCCATTATTGCTGATTCCTTTCTGAAAGTTCTTGGGTTTCGCTTGAACCTTCTTGCAATTACTCTTACACCTGGAGGTCTGCAGGTTGATCATGGTTCATCAAATCCAACATTTGCCAACATTTGCCATTTGCATGCCATTTGCCAACCCTGTCCTCTTCCAGGATGTCAATTGGTCTGGACTGTCTCGAAGCAGTTGGCAAACGACCACCCATTTGAGATCCTGGACGTGGTGGAAATTCTCGCGAAACTACATAGGAGCTGCCCGGCCGCGAGTACTCCTAGGCTGCCAAAAAAAAAAAAAAACTGTGTGAAAAATATTGAAAAATGTAAACATGAATTGACAGTTCTCTAAAACAATTGGAACAAACTGGTGTAGCGGGTCTAACACCCCATATCTCCGCTCTAGCTTTAGATGTACTGGGCCCACATTCCTGTCGGATCCATGCCCAAACTCCAAAACTTGGGGTATCTCATCTCATCTCTCTCTCTCTCTCTTTCTCCCTCCATCGCCCCTCTCCAAGAGTTCAGCCAAAGACTTGGGAGTATCATTTCAAAGTATTTGAGTTTGTGGAAGTAGCACAAACTGAGGTTCAAAGCTGGTTTTAGATACCCCCAAGGACAATGATGGCTCCAAGTTTTGGATTTTGGGCCGAAAAGAGATAATGAAATAGGTCCCACAAGAGTGTGGGCTTTTCATGGATCTTCAACGTCCATGAATCAAGGCCCATTACATTCAGTAAACCAAACCCCGCAAAGGTAGAGCTGGGGATATCTCTTTTGGGGTTTGCTCCCACTTAAAAAAATAACTTTAGTTTGCGTTTCAATTCATGACAAGGGCGCTCTTGCATCTTTTCAGAGAAACATATGGTTGACGTTGAGGTATGATGGAACATTAGCTATGATCTCGAATCTCTGTAAACATGCAATAGACATTAATAGACTTCATGGACCCTTCATCTTGTGGACGGTGGCGACGCTTTAGATGCACCGGACACCATGGTGAGTACAGCGAATTCGTGTTTCCGTTCTTAGCACTGCGGCCACCGGGTGACTAGTAGATACTAGTAGTGGATGACTGTGAAAGAGACGCACTCAAAACAAGAAGTCCTACAGCGTTCTTAACATCAAAGGCATTTGCAGAAGACATGTCGATGACATGTCGGAAAAAGATGAACAAAACATGAGCCAAGACTCAAACACCACGCCACGTCGTGTAGGCCCTTCCAAGGCTTCTCTCTCCAGCTGCTTCTCCAGTGTTGAGCTCGCCTTTCCTGAGCTGGCAATTCGTTGGGCAACAATTCATTCAGAACTCATGAGATAGGATCTGCAAAATTTGAAGGTCTCAGCTACGTCCTGGTAGGTAGTAGTATAATGATTTTGAATAGATTATGTCAACAACATCTGCCAATGAGCATTTGTGAAGTCTCCCCCTTTAAAAGCGTGTTTTGCCGAAAAATCACTGGATCACATTCTTTCTTTGCATCCCGAGGGTTGCGTCTGGACTTATGAATTTATAGAGTGATGCAGTGTTGCGGATAAAGGCACATATGAAATACTAGGCAATCCATGCATGCTAATCATGCTAAACCATGCTACAATGATCTACATGGATCATCATGGATCCACATTGTCTGTCATCTGTCATCTCGGATATCTTGCAGAGTACAGCCCAGCAGCAGCCAAGCTGCTGAGCACACCTTTCTGGATAAGTTCTGACTTGCTTTGTCTGTCACAGCCTCGTGCAGCAAATAGCGGCCAAACGGCCTCGGACACCGAAGCGTAGTCGCAGGGAGTGATACCTTAGCAGCTCCAGGTCTCCGTTTAAAACTCTGCACACATGCTGTATGCATGGTCACTGCACGCGAACATGCCTACCACTATAAATACTCAATATATATATATACAGTACATAATATTCTACATATATATAATATCATATAATATTATATAATTGCAAGACTATGCGCTTCACATGCTGCAGGAGAAGGACGAAGAAAGTGGGTTGGATGGAAGCACCACTTAGTCTGGGAATGGAACCAACATCCATCGCCAGTGAACGAGATGTAATCTAACAAACATACAAAAAATACTGCAAATAAAAATAAAGGACCGGATAACCCCACAAGTCAACTTCTTCCAATAAGCAGAAACAAGTTGTAGCCGGACGGGAAAGGAAGGAAAGACAAAGGAGGTGGTGGAGGATCGAGAAGTTAAACAAGTTGTATGTGAAGAGTTGTGTGATAAAGTTGTGTGTGAAAGATGTTGTGTGACAAAGAGGTGTGTGACAAAGTTGTAGGCTAAAGATGGTGTGTGACAAAGTTGTGTGTGACAAAGAGGGGTGTGACAAAGTTGTGTGTGACAAAGAGGGGTGTGACAAAGTTTTGTGTGTGAAAGATGGTGTGTGACAGAATTGTGTGTGACAGGGAGGCGGCGGTGGGAGAGGGAGGAGGAGCGGGATACAGAATCAAAAACAAGAACCCCACACAAAGAAGAACAAAACAAAATGCGACCGGATGCGACCGGTATTGAAAAATGGAACAAGCTAAAGGTCGTGTTTCCAACATGGAACATTCGTGAACATTGGAACATATTGGAACGTGTGCTTTTCTCGGCCGAAATGCCTTCTGTGTCCTTCTCCAGCGGGTTGGCTCGTCCCTCCATGAGCAACATACAAGCCTTTCCCTCTTCTTGCAATGCTGCCGCATGGAGAGGTGTCCACTGTGGCCCGTTTTCATTTCGCAAAGCCGGGGAGGCCATAGAGTCCAACAAAGTCTTCAGGATGTTCACCTCAGGATTTTCAAACAACTTTTGAAACCATTTGAAACCTTTCCGACATCAAAAGTGTTCTCAGAATCGATCACAATCGTCTCAAATGTTTTCAAACTCTTGCACGAAAGCGCTCATGTCCCTTTGTCGCTTTGGACCTTTGTTGATTCCCGGACCCTTTTGCAACACATTCCGGTTTCACTGAGCTGTGCAAGAGCTCTGCCAAAAAGCGAAATCCAGCCACTGCACGAAGATCGGGGACCACTAGAGCACCCATGGACCCAAACATCCAAAACGAGCTTTAGCCAAGACCAATAAACCACAAGTAAGAAAGTAGCAATGACAAGGTGACAAAGCCTTCCTACTCTCTTGTCAAAGTCACATGCCCCCACATGGCGGCAGCACAGAGCGGAGAAGTTCCATCCAGTCCCAACTCGTTGACCGATCCAGGATCTGCTTCGATCACACGTCGCACGCCGTTCTCATCGCCGGAGGCAGCGAAAGCAGTCAGCATCAAAGCGCGAGAGTCATTAGCTGTCGGCTGCACTGACCACAGCGTTTGCATCAGCGCAATTGATATGAGGCTAAGCCCAGGGAGCCACAAGAGATCGGCATGGTCCACTGACATATGTCCTGCCTGCTCATGTGATATCTGGAAACAATTCTATCATTACATTGTTGACGCTGCAACATGTGTGAGGTCAACGATCTCAGCAAGTCTTGATTGGCTGCAGCTGTTTGGTCATGGCCCGGTATACATGGCCGGCTCCTTTTCTTCGATGAGCCGCCCACCTGCAGTTCAGTTTCACCAACATGATCCAACAAGTGTCAACTGTGAACATCTGTGAACACTGAACATGTACGACACCGGAAAGGATACCCGTGTGTTGATTGAAAAACGAGAAACCCATAGAAAAACCCTTCTCGGAGGTTTCCAAATCATTTCGATCTCAGCCCCATTCAGCCCCTTGCCATGTAGAAGAAAAGGGTCCACGGGGCTGCACTGAAGCCAATCAAAGGGATGTCGCCCATCCCTTCCTGAGACCTACACACTCAGCAAGGTTGTGTGATGAATGGTGGGGACAGTACAATCCAAACCAGGCAGGTTAAATATGGATAAATATGGTAAATGCAATGTAAATTGCTGGTAAATGTTCAAGAGGTGCAAGTATACTGCAGCAAACCTGGCAGGAATGAGTGGAAATGAGACGGCAAAAACAGAAGGAAAGCAGGAAAATAACCCTCAAAGCACGCATGAAAGTGGAGCCATAGTAGTCATAGGCAGCCCTTCTGTCTAACGTGTCTAAGATATGGCAAAAAAAAGGGGTGGGTGTTGCTCAGGGCAGCACATGGTCTGCAGAATCAGCCGAACCGCTTCAAGCACATGCGCCTGAACTGAACACACTGTACTATGAATCAAACACAGTGACCATCAGTGACCCAAATGCTTCAAACATCCAAACATGCAAGTTAAACTAAGTTTGAATGAGATTCATTGAGATTCAAGTTCAGGCTTGAATTTCATCGTCAAATGGGTCAGTGCAGCGAACACAACGGGCACCAGCCGTTGCTCGACAAAGTCAGCACTGGCAGTGGAGGCTTCCAGGCGCGCCAAGTCCCGAGGGGACTCCAAAGGCCGTGGTACCAGAATGCCTCGACCAGAAGCACAACAATAACTGGAGAAAACATGAGGAAAGACTCGGAAAGACCATGAAAGACCAAGGGAACAGGGCGAAAGCGACCCTCTGCAAGAACCACTGAAACCCTTTGCCCTTGCCAAGGACCTTTTCCTCCAGGCATCTCCTGGGAAAGGGGTCACTGATGGATCTGATGGTAGTGCAAAGCGACGATACAGCAAGTACTAGACCCAGCACATAGCTTTGAAGCTGCGGCAGTTGAGACAAGCAGGTTTTGTCTTTCATGATCTTTCATGGTCTTTCATGTCATGGGAATGACCTGCTCTAAGTCATTTCTACTCAGCATGTACTAGAATTGACCTCGCAGACTGAAGGAAGTTTTGGAAGGGAGTGATGGGAGTGGCGGTACGTCGCTCCGAAAATCAAGACACAGTGGCTTCGAAACTCTCCGTGTGGCCCTGTGTCTCCGGGACTCATCCAGGACTGATCCTAGACCCATTCAGAGTCATTAAATCATTCATAGTCTTTCATAGTCTTTCATAGTCTTTCATATGATTCATATAGTCTACTTAGTCAGACTTAGTCATTCATATCTATGTCATTATGTCATTCTTACTTCTCACCAGCAACTTCCGCCAAGCATCCACATCGATCCCCAAGGCTTCAGCGACCACGAGAATATCTGAAAACAAAATGGCTGCGTCAACACCATACCTCCGCAGGGGCTGCATGGTAACTTCCTTAGCAACATACGTAAAAGGTCGACAAGATCGCACGAGTTCATGCAAGACAGCTCGTGCTCAAGCAAAATTATGCAAATTCAGAAATGCTCAGAAGGGTTCAACGTAGTTTTAAAAAACGAGGTCCACAGTGGATGAATTGAGGCTTGCACTGCAACATCCTTTGGATCCTGCAGGAGCTGTAAAAAGTTTTTCCCACCTCAGCACGACGAACTGTATGCTCCAAACGAAGCAAACCTTTAAGCCCTTTCAAGGTTCAAGGCTTGGATTCAATTTGACCCTACAATTTCACATGCACAAATGCCACACCACCAGTGCCCGATACTTGCAGGCTTAAAAAGGGCAGCAGTAACATCTAGCATCTGGGCATGTGATATACGCCCTCGGGCCCGAGAAGCCAAAATGCGCCGACGTTTTATCATCTCATTTGCAGGCTTTGCTTTTGAGGCACGCTTTGCTTTGTACTCATTGTACTCAGGGAGGTGTCGCCCTGCTTGGCGGAACAGCCACACAGGCACCTTTCAGGAAAGTTGGCCACATGAGCGTGCATAAGAATGTAAAGCAAGCAAAATCAAGGCAAATGCAAGGTGCTTGTCCATGCCCTTTCAGAGGTTTTGAGTGCCATGCAGTGGCGGCTGCCGGAAGTCCTAATCTGTCTTACTGGTGCTGTCCAAACAAAATGTTAGAACCTGAGGCTCTCGGACTGGCTCCAATCCCCTGGCCACCTGAGTCGCAGCATGTCGCAGTGCCAAGGAGACGCCCTGAATCCGCTTTTATCGGTTTTTATCCAATTTCATCTATTTTATGACTGTAGATACTGTCTGCGCTTCATACTCAAAATCATTACTTAAATTATAGTTTCAAATTTATTTTTCGTAAACATGTTCCAATGTGTTCCAATTTTGTCAGCATCCCGTGGCACCTGGCAGAGCGAGGAGGTGCTGGGATCGGCTCGCAGCATTGGCCTTGTGTAAGCACCCATGGAATTCTCGTCTCTCATGAGACTCTCATGATCTCACTCAAGTATAGTTCTCAGTGTTGTTTGAGCACGGGATGCTGGATCAGGTGACAAGGTCCAAAAATTATTCACAAACATTTGCAAACCACAGTAACCACAGTATACAGCATGCTATGATGGAAACACTTGCAGATACTTGCAGTATTGCAGATAGATACAGATAGATACAGATAGATACAGATAGATACAGATAGATACAGATAGATACAGATAGATACAGATAGATACAGATAGATCAGATAGCCTGGCACGCGGTCGCTGCAAACGCCGTGCAGTTCCTGGAGGTTGAAGTCAATCAAAGGAAAATATGTTCAGAATTTTGCAATGCAACGCTAGATTTTGCAGAGTTTTGCAGTGTATTACAGCATATTACACAGCATTGTGCTGCAATGTGGCCGTCTGTAGCACATCAATGAGATGCAATTATATAAATCCTAAAGAAAGGGAATGCGCATCCTCACCAGCAGACCTTCACAAAAAAAAAAACACTATCCCTTGTCAGATCATGGGTCCTCTGCAACAGTCACTGCTTTGCTTCATAAAAAAAATCATGCCGATTTGGAGCGGAATAATTAATGCAGCACCCTTGAAGCAGAGAATCGCCAAATTCATTGCACATATTTGACATATTACACGATTGCGATCAGTCTCCAGCCAGCATCCGAAATTCGCAATTGCTCAGGTTTTTTTTTTGTTTTCTCCAACAAGCCGCTCTTTGAAACCACACAGCATCCGAGTCCATCCGAGTCCATCCGAGTCCATCCGAGTCCTAGCACCATGGCAGCCGTCGCAGCTGCAAAAACACGACGTGGCAAAGCGTTTTGCCCCACACGAGGTGCCGAAGAGTTGTGGCGACCTTGGCCACAATTGCAGCAGTGAGCTTTGGATGGTTTGGGTTCAAACATATTCAGTTAATATGTCAAATGTTAAGCCTGAGAAGCATTAGTCAACATGATTCAAAGGTCAGTATTCATACAATCGCGAGCAGGTCCGCTGAGGTTTCTTGGTCGGTTGTGTATAGTTGCATATATTAGTTTATTAATGGTCTATATTATATATTTGCCGTAAATCATGTGTAAATCTATAGTTACATCCTTGTGCCGTGCGCATCTTCCTGATCTCTCCCATCTGCAAAACCAGGGCAGCCCTTGATAGGACATTTAAGACGTTTACATCTGTGCTGAACTCACTATGCTGCTTTGTTATGCTTTGTTGATCTTTGGTGGCAACTCATTCGCTTCGCTTTTGCACCCATTCGCGCGGAGACTGAATTGCCACTTAGGACTGAATACGGAAGCTTGGAGCTGCAGGAACACATGCCAAAGAGTTGATTCCGGCAAGACAGCTCACTAATACCAAACCCCTTCACATAGGGCATCGTTCTTCTCATCTGCGCCTTGGTGCACTCGGTGCAAGCAACAAGAATGGACTAATACTAATACTATAGACAACACAGAATTGAGAATTGCACAACTGATTACATGCAACGGAGACTCTTGCAAACTAAGTCAGGGTACCATGTTCACAATTGACCAAAGAGCCTTCGTCCTTGTCTATGCATAAGTAATCTCCTTAGTTGCGCCACATGTCCCGCCAAACAAAGCTGGAATCCATGATGTAAGCTACATAATCCACAACGGAAATGGATCTGAGGGCAGGTCCTGAATGCACTGACTAAATACATCTAAATGCATAATATTGCATGATCATCTTACAATCATACCGAATCATACCCATAGCATTCGGCTTTTGATCTACTGATTCCAGTGTGTCGACGTACTCTTAAAGTGGTTTGGTCGTTTTCTTGCGGTTCTGGAACTTGCATGAACTTGCAGTGTTTTGTGCACCTCTTGTGGACCTTCTTAATTCTCACTCACCGCCACATTCTCAGCTTAGACGCCCTCATTGGCGTCAGCCACGCCAGTGACGGTGGAATCGTCATCCCACTTCCAAGCGCCCTGGAAGCGTCAGTGTCCATGGAAGGGTCATGAGTCATGAGGCTTAGTGACAACAGTGACAACAGTGACAGCACTTCAGCATCTGTCTACTGCAACCCGTCGGAGCCGAATAAATCTGTCATCAAAAATGGTGCAGCCAAGAGACTCCTTTGAATTTTGCACCTTCCGGATTTCACGGATGCATCGCATCTAAAAGAATACTACAATGCATACCGCAAACTATTGCAATGCCCTTCTAACTGAAACAATATTCCAAAATAATCGAAAATATTCCAAATACTCTGCGGTGTCTTTTTCCTTAGCATCTTTAGCGCTAGGTCTATGAGGTCAGGTTGGCTGCGAGCCTACCCAGGCTTTGTCTGCACTGCAATGTTCCTTTTGGAGGGCCCATAGTCGTTGTATGTCCTGCTGCTATTGGGCTTTGGGGGGAGAGGTGCAATGACCGGGGGCATGCTCAGGAGATCTCGCAAAATCTCAGCAGAGCAAGGCTCCTCTGGATACTTTGGCATTGCGAGTCGTTGGGCGATGCAAGCAGCTCGAGTTTCGTTGTGCAGCACTAGAGGTCCAGCGAGATAGCGGCGATCTTAGAGTTGCAGGATGGTCGTGTCCAGAAAAATAACACATAGATTGAAATCATTCAACCCCACCAAAACGCTGTCACGGCTGTCAGCCAGTGAAATCTGATCAAAAATCCTTCCATGCAAACAAGCCACGTTTGGGCCTACAAAGTTTGCAAGGATTTGTGCAGTCATCCTTCTTTTTCTGAGCCCTGGTCCTGATTCTACGGATTTACAATGTGGGCGTACCAAAAATACAACAAAATATCTAGCGATCTGTACACGTCCGCGTGTGCGCAAACATATGTTACAACACCTTCAATACTCACGTGAAATGTGATTTTACTGCAAAAAAAACTACTGTTGTGCAAACTGTTTTATTTTTTTTGGTAAAGTTACTTATTTTCAAACTGTTTTGTACATGCGATATCCGGTTTTAGAGAAGGTATATCACAAAATGCCTACCGAAACTTTCATGCTTTGAATTTTGAATCCAGGAAAAATTCACGATGATTCAAGGTTCTGATGGAAATTGTTTGAATCCAAGGGTTTCAATTTTGAGGAGAATTGTGAATCCAGAAAGCAACTACCTGAATTCAACAATCCGTATTATTGTTGATTAAGCTTTTTGTTTGCGGTGAACACCAAAAGAGCAATGCATAGCACCCAATCACTGTTAATATTTGCGATGGATTGTAATGGGGATCTTATATATCTAATGGTTATTTCTTGAATGTTAAGAACGTCTGCGCCACCTATACGCGCAAATTATGACCGGAGTAATGCTAGACTATATGCTTGTTAAGAAACAGTTAATGATGTTGATAATCGATAGACTTCGCATGTGAAAAAATGAAAAACCTTGTGTGCCGTCACGCTCTTCACTTTTTGACTGCCAAGCAAGTAGGCTTTGTTGTGAAACGTAAATGTTTCTCCTTCTTATAGCTCTAGCTCTGAGCTATTTGCAGCTATTTATTGTTATATCGAACGCCTCATGGTAGAGAAACATGCAAACCTCATGGGAGAGGTATCTCAAGCGTTCAAACTCTCATGGTAGAGGAAAAACAACAAAAGGATTTCACAAGCCATTTTGTCAGGATGCACGGTCGAACCAGCATCTTTCCATGCACCCCAACGAAGTGTCCACGTTCACGCCTGTGAAAGTCTCTCAATGTTGTACTTAGCAATGAATCCACTTGTAAACCTGGTCATTTTGATGTCAGGAATGTACGAAAGGCCATCAGAGATATACAGACGTGCAACACGGCTAGGCTAGATCCCCACCTACCTCGAAACAATGCCGCCTCCATGGAATGTGTTGCCTGAAAATAGGCCGTGGCTCCTCCACGTCTTAAGCTATATGGTCTGAAATTATGTTCTGCAACACCAAGCAGGTTACAAAGCTCTCGGAAACGGCAGCGGACCAGGAAACGAAGGAACTCAAGTACCAGCGGGCAAGTAACGCTAACCACTTCATCTGAATTATTTCGCGCTCCAGTCTTAGTCCCCTTGAGGGATATGACAGCTGAAACGGGCCCTAGTGATACATCGTTTGCAGTCAGGGTTAAAAACTTCCCTGTTCTAAGTAAACAATGAAAAGCGACCAGAAGAACAACGGCCATGTCATAGTTTCCAAGATGCCATTCGTACCCAGCTAATGCACTCACCAAGGTCCAGGTGAGAGGTGGTGCTCTGCTAGGTAGTTCCACTCGCTGCCATACAGCGAAGAGTTTCCAAGCATGTGGGATCTTTCGTTTGGTCCACGGCTGGTAAAATCAGTGGATTTTTCAGGAACTGCAAAAGGAGGTTCTCAGCTATATAGCCCTTGGCTAGCGGTATATATCCCTTACATAAGCCTTATATACTCCTATTTGTAAGGCATATGTACGGCCCATGTATTCGAATATATGTTTTGTTCATTTTGTAAGTTTGACCAACCTTTAACTTATATAACTTATATAAGCACTGTAGGTCCCTGGCAAGCCTATGTTCAACAAATCAAATTGTCGAGAACAGTAATGTTTGGATCTTATCTATTTTGAATTGAAATTATGGTACTCATCACGCAGTTGCCCACTTTATTATGGGCCACCAAGCCTAAAGTTTCAAAGCGTGACCAAAAAAGACAGTATTTTGCTTTGGAAAAATTGAGCCAATTTGGGGGATTCCCACACAGCTCCAAAATGTGGAAAAACTCTAGTGTTTTGGCCCTGGGAGCAGTATGTAAGCAGTATGTAAGCAGTATGTAAGGGCTATGTAAGGGCTATGTATTGCTTACATACTGCTCCCAGGTAGCAGTATGTAAGCAGTATGTAAGCAGTATGTAAGCAGTATGTAAGCAGTATGTAAGCAGTATGTAAGGGCTATGTAAGGGCTATGTATTGCTTACATACTGCTCCCAGGTAGCAGTATGTAAGGCAGTATGTAAGGCAGCATGTAAGGGCTATGTAAGGGCTATGTATTGCTTACATACAGATGGGCAGTATGTAAGCAGTAACGCCTGTGTAAAGACCCAAGAAATGGCGGCTAAGTAATGTTTATTTGTATATGCCATCATCCTCCACCACAAAAAAAAATTGGCTCCACCGTGACCCCAACCATGTTCAATGACACCCCCCTATGTAAGAATCACCCTTTTTGGGAACAACCATTGTCGTTCACTTCTGGCACAAGAATTCAAACTAATACGGGTTGAAGAGTAAAAATCACAACATTATGTAAGAAGCAACTTTTTGGGGTAGGAAGGGCATACCCTCAGATCCTCATTTTTAAGCTCCTGAAAAATCCGTAGATAAAAGTGCAAAGCAGACAATGCATCTCCTACAGTAAGGAGAGGCTCTCCTGTCTTCCACATTTTCTTAATCCAAAGGCATAAATAACTGTCCAACTGATCTTCATTTGTTGCTTTCTCCACATGCCTGATGATTTTGCGCAGCGCCAAATAATAGCGTGTCCGTGTTTGATCAGTTAAGGCCGCATCTTCAAGGTCGATCTTTGCTCTGTGAAACTGACGTTCTTTACGAGAAAACCTGCCAGCAATGACTCTTGGTTTAGCTCGCCCGTGACCCCGCATCGGATGGATTATCCAGCGACTCGACGTGAGCCATTACTAGCTGCAGCCCATGTGCAAGAAGGTAGGCTGAGATTTGATTGAGTACTCTGGTGAGTTGTTTGCTGCTGCTTCTCCCTTTGCTTACCACACTCATACAAACATAAGAATCACAGAGTTGGAAGATACGCATATCCGTAGCCCCGTAGCGTTGCACTTGAAATTTTATTCCTAATAAGACAGCCGTTAATATGGCTCTTCCCCTTCCATCTTGTTGTAAAACCCCGTTTCCATGACCACCAACATGATTCAACAGATTGCCGTGGAAACGCCTTTGAGCTGCAAATTCCCCCTGATAAGATTCTTATGTCCGACCCTGTGTGGTTAGTCTTGCGTAACAGTAACCGGTTGAACAAATTAATTCCGCCATCCAAATTGTCTGAACCTTTGTCTCCAGAACCATAGGCCAGCGCAACCATAGGCCAGCGCTCGTGATAAAGGTGCTCGGCTTCTGATGTGGGTGCAAAAACCAGGGGCAAGTCCCATCCTATGTACCAGGTGCTCGTAAGTCAACTGTGGTAAAAAGCTTCGACAGCAAGCGACTGCCATGATCACAAACGAAAAACAACTGAAGGAATCTCCTAGCAACTTATGTCTGCAATCAGAAAATCCCACTTTGTTTTGCTTTGACTTCGAAGCACTCCACCATAAGGATGTGTGACCCAATCCGTATCCCAGCAACAGTTCCTTCTCCGTGGCATTCAAAAGCCTGGAGGATATCTATATGAATCATCAGCCCAGCGTTTTCGGGTAGCAATGTCTGTTTTTCCTAACCCCGCCGGTTTAGGTGGGGGTGCAGAACGTGGTATGGACTTCAAACAAGTGGGAAAAATAGCACCTACTTCTTCTCCTTCCCAGCGAAAACCTGGTGTAATCCAATCTTTTGTTTGGGGATGTACCGCTTCTGCCAGCACCTCTTTCCAATAGCGCTTGTTTTCGACAAATATGTCTGGGAGACATCCTTCCACTGTCTCGGATGTCCAGCAGTACCTTGGCCGCCTCATCGGTGTACAGCATCTGCACAGTCGAGCGTGTAAGGGACCGATCCAATCTCTGAGGAAATCTGTTCAGCTGCACTTTCGTCCATAGAAGCCACATTTTCCAGAACATACCGCGCAACGATTTGACTTCCAAAAACTTCCCTTAGCAGCTTTAACACCCTTTGAATTTCCCAGAATAAACTGCTTTGCGGTCCCTCCAGGTTTAAACGTCCAGCCTTAATCCGAGATAAGTCGACACATGGCCAGCCTCCACAAAGATGAATTTCAATCACATCCAAGCATTTGAGACTCCAGCCGCCCTGCACCATCTCTCGCGATATTGAACGAATGTCTTTGACAAACACTGTGCCAGGCCAGCGGCGTGCTGTGACTCTGTTGGCCGCGTCATCAATGTCTACAGCAATCCACACCAGGGGTACTATTCCAATGAGATCATAGCAGCGGAAAGATCCGCCAATGCCATTAAATAAACTCAGCAAAATAATAGGGCTCTATGTCCTTTTCCCGGGCCGCGCTCAATTTTCTCACAGGTTTGCAGGAAGTCAATCCCCGTGGCTGTAACAGCTTCCGCAACGTCCACTGATCCACCAACCTCTGATGCATCCGTGCAGACGATCTGAGGCGCGATCTGCGCCCCCAGGTTGCAGTGCAGGAGGGGTCATGGAATGAAAGTGAGAGATAAAAATTCGCCTTTTACCAACACTCGCAGTCGTTCTCCTAGCTTTTGTTTTCCGCTAATGAAGTCCCATGTATGCTGCAAGTAGCTCATTGCCGGACGTCGGAACTGAAGGCGTCCTGCCATCACTTGTACTGTCTTTCTATCCAACCTTCCCTGACTGAGCATCCACAAAGTAGCTTGAATCAGCTTAAGCAGTTTCTCAGTTCCCAGGCCTAACGTACCAGCCAAGCCATCAACTTCTGCTCCTAATTCAGTCACCCGTCTCTCACAGGACAATCGCCTTTTCTCGGAAGCAATCACTCCCGCATTTTTCCAAGCAATCTCCGCAGCTTCATGACAAAGCTTGGCACTAGCTCCAGCTTCAGTGGGGAGTATCCGTTCTCCCCCCGCATAGTTGTCAAGATAAACATGCCACCAATTCCTGTCGGA